TACACACCTGTGCTTGCCACTTTCTCCAAAAGCCTCCGGCCCCTCTGAAGGTAGGAACGCCGCTCTCGGCGCTCACACCGGCTCCGGTAATGATGGCGATATGCTTTGCTTTGGCAAACACTTCTCGGAAATCAGCCATGTCTGTTTGTGGGACGAAAAGATGAGCACTTTCATGATGAAAGGTGAACTGCTCAAACAGTTGCATTTTTACATAAGATTCCATACTATGCTGCCAAATGTGCATGCAGAAAGGGCATTCACATGCTCCCAGAACTGGCTTCCCTGGCTTCCACATACACCCACCATGACTTCAATTTCAGAGTACTTTGGTTTTTTTTCCCCTCCTGTTTCTGTACGTTGGAATTTGAAAGGCAGTTCTTGGAGACTTTCAAAAATAACGTATGAGCAAACCCCGTAGGACAACAAATATTCAACTATGGGTATATGCAATATTTTAAATACAAAATGCCTTAAACTAAAACTGTAGTTAGATGCTACCACGATAGCAATGCCACCACCATTCAGGAATAGGTTGCTTCCTACCTGTAAGAATCAAAACGAGATTATAAAGAAACCTCTTTACCTCAGATATTAATTTTAAAGCAACATATTTTAGAATCACAGAATGGTAGAGGTAAGAAGGGACCTCTGGAGAACATCAGGTCTAAGGCTCCTCAAAGCAGGGGAAAACTCAAGGGTGCCCAAGCTTGTGTCCAGGCAGTTTTTGGAGATCTCCAAAGAGGAGATCCCACAGCCCCTGGGCAGCAAGTGCCAGTACGCCATCACTTGCACAGCACAGAATTGCTGCTTGGTGTTGAGGGGAAATCTGCTGTGCTCCACTTTGTGCTCACTGACTCATCGTGGTGCTGGGCACCTCTGAAAAAAGCCCAGCTGTGATTTATCACTCCAAACCAGAGGCATATATACACTAGTAAGAAACCCTTGAGCCTCCTCTCCTGCAGGCTGCACAGCCCCAAGCCCTCTCAGCCCCTCCTTATACATCAATCACTCCCAGCTCCTTATCACTTCTGTGACCAGACCCACCCCAGCAGGTCCTGTGGTGGGGAGCCCGAAGCTGAACCCAAGTCTCCAGGTGTGCATCACCAGCGCTGGGCAGAGGGAAGGACCACAACCGCCTCCCTCTGCCTGCTGGAAGCGCTCTGCCTGGTGCAGCCCAGGGGGCCGTTGGCCCTCTTCAGCAGGAGGGCCCATCCCTGGCTCCTGGTTACCCAGCTGTCCACCAGAAGAATGCTCAGGGCTTTTCCTGCAGAGCTGCTTTGCGGCAGGTCGGCCCCAGTGTGCCCTGGTGCCAGGGGTTATTTCAAGTTAAGGCACATTTTCAGGCTTAAAAATAAATATATGCATGTATGTCTGCTAGACTAAATAAGGGTTCATCTTACTTAATATGCAGCTCCCGAACTACCACAAATGCTTGAGGTCCCCCATAATTCTTGCACAAACAAATCAGGATGAGTGTTATTGCTCCTCAGAAGCATGAAGAGGAAATGCAGCTAACTAGCTGTGTAAATTATCTGCATAATCTGCATAAATTGTAAGTACTAAAACCACGTCTGCAGGAAACCACAGTGACAGCAGCTACTTTCGGAACCACACAGTGAAGAGGCACAGCAGATACGTTTTAACAGCTAAGAGACAAGTCAACGTCACGCTCTTCCAACCGTTTTGAATAACACTGGGGATTTCGCCCATTCCACGAACTACTCTGAGTTTCCAACCCAGCTTAACCACCGCCCGGCAGACTAAAGCGAACGAACGCGTATCTCACTCGAACTGGGCCGAGCCATTTCCCAGCAGAAGCTGAGTTTCTTGGAAGCAGCTTTGGGAGCACCGTGCACCTGGGCGAGCAGCCTCCGGGCGGCGCGTCCAGCGAGACTCATCAGCGGCGCTTCGACGCCTCGTCCTGAGGAGACACACGGGAAACGAGCGGATCGCCGAGCGAACGGAACGCACCGCTCGCAGCTCCCCGACGGAGCTCATTTCTGCCGGGAGCGGCCCCGAGCCGCCGGGCCGGGCTGCAGCCGACGGAAGGAACCGCGAGCGGAAAGCAGCGCGGCGCTCTCGCCAACTGGGCCCGGCCCCGCTCCCGGCCCTGCCGCGTACCCACCTGAGGGCAGGCGGTGCGCGGGCCGCTCTTCCGCAGCTCCGAGCCCTGCCGTGCGGCGCCGCACGTCCCCGGCCCGCCTTCAGCCCCGCCTCCCCTGCGCGGCTGTTCCTTTGCAGCGGTAGGGGGCGGCGCGGCTCCTGGCTGAACGCCGCTGCGCTGCTCAGCTTCACTGTGTGGCGGAGCAGCCGGGTGCCACCGCAGGGTCGGCAGGACGGGGCGCTGCTGCAGCGCGGGGCACCTCGTCCGCGAGTGAAGCCCCCGCACTTAGTTTTACTCGGACATAGAATCATAGAATGGCCTGGGTTGAAATGTTCATCCAGTTCCAAGCCCCTGCTGTGTGCAGGTCGCCAACCAGCAGACCAGGCTGCCCAGAGCCACATCCAGCCTGGCCTTGAATGCCTGCAGGGATGGAGCATCCACAGCCTCCTTGGGCAACCTGTGCCAGTGCCTCACCACCCTGTGTGAAAAAACTTCCTCCTGATATCTAACCTAAATCTCCCCTGTCTCAGTTTAAAACCCCTTGTCCTATCACTATCCAACCCACACAACGTCCGTGCACAAACAGCACTCCGACCCGTCACAGCTCCCACAGTTTTGTGAGGAAAGCTTGTTTTCTGTAGAACAAGCTCACTCACTGCTTTCACGCGGCCTCACCCTCCTCCCTGCCCTTCCTCAGCAACTTTAAACCCCTCCTTGCTCAGTTTGAGATTTCACACTTTTCAAACATTTCAGTTTTTCTTTTCCGTGGGAATTCTATAAGAGATGAAGAGTTTCCTTTTGTAGGGGAGTATTGGAAAGGCTGAGGGGCACTGAGCCCAGGCTGCCTGTGCTTCTGCCTGCAGGAGCACACCAGGTGTGCCAGTTCCACAAGGGCTCTGGGTGAATCTTCATAAAGGGTTTTGGAAAAAACCCAACAGCTAACACACAGAGAACACAAGGCAAGGGCCATTGGACCAACTTAGCACTGCAGCCATCCTGCTAATTTAAGTGATATCATCCCAGGAGGTAAGCCCCTGCACTGGCAATGCATGCCAGCAGCTCAGACTAGAAACAGCCACTCATTAGTCAGCATTACAGTTGGGGCTGGTTTGCTTTTTAATATCAGTCTCATTGTGGGTCATAGATCCTGCTTCTTGGGTTGTTTCTTTTAAATGCTGGTTAAGACAATATTTAGGAAAGAGGAATGCCAGCTTGCAACTGAACAGTCACCACGGCCCTTTCTACTGGTTAAAAAGCTCAGGACAGCCACTGCTGCTCTGGCACTACCAACAGAAAGCCTACTTCTCACTGTGTGTAGCAGAGTTAGAGGTGCACACCAATGCCTGCAGTTCCACATTACTTCACTGCACTCATGACATACGTTGCTTCCAACACTTACCTGCAACAAGATGTGTTAATATGCTGAGTTTGCAAAAGAAAACATGGGATAGCATGGGTTAAGTCAAATGTTCGTGCCAACAGCTTGGCTTCTGTAGGTTTCTCTGCCATTCATAGACTGTACACTCCAGGAAGCACTTGAGTGTTTCTGAACCAACCATGTGTTCTGTATTCCTAAGGGTAGCTGATGCTAACCTGGTATAAGTTCTGTAAGAAAAGGGCCATATTAACTTCCAAAACTGTTGTCCTCATCCACTACAAACAACTTATGCAAATGTTCATGCACACACGTATATATTTTCAAAAGCTTTATAAAAAGGTTAAAGTGACATCTAAAATTAACTTCAAGATACTTGACAGTGTTTTAGGATCATCTGTGCCTGATAAAATACTTCTGTGTAAACAAGTTTTTCCATTATGGTAAATTTTTTTCCAGCAACAATCGTCGTTAATGCACCAAAAGCAACTCCGAGTGGACTCCGAAAGCATGAGAAAGATGTCTTCTGCAAAGCCCTTCATTCCACCAGAATCAACCAACACAAGCACATCGGTATCCTGTTTCAGTGCTGGCAAAAGCCATGTCAAGGGCCAGCACAACGCTCTGCGCCTGCCCCCTTGGCACAGCACCTCCCAGCTGCCTGGATGAGGGTTGTACGTCTTTAGCAGTGCATCTGCCTTCCAGGAACTTGCCCGCTCTCCCCTGTCCACAAGCTCTCGGTGCCCGTGTTGTTCTCTGGCAGGAGTCACCCAGCTCTGCTCCCCTAAGAAGGGAAGGGAGGGCAGCAGATGAGGAAGGTGTATCCACACAGGCTGCACTCATCTTGTGCCACAGGAATCAGCCAGTGTTCATACAGGTTAACATCATCAGGTGCTCCACTCCCATTGCAGTCCTTCAGCATTCTTACAAAGTATTTTGCATCTGAGCACCATCAGCTAGTAATGGCATTAAGCTTATTATGTGACCATGGAACCTAAATGTATCAAATATAAGCAAAACGATGTCTTTAAAATCCCAAGTCAACAGTCTGTATTCTAACACACAATAGGTCTGTACCAATTAAATACAGGATTGGCAGTACATAAATTACAGTTCTTTACAGCAAATAGTAACACACTAGAGTCCGCTTACTGTACACAACAATCAGAGAAAGAACAGCAGCTTGTCAGTAAGGTCCCAGGTATCGCAGTCACTCACTTGCTCAGAACAAAGAACAGGTACAGCAGGCCACTCACGTCACTCATTTTTCACCATGTTACTTTACAAACATCCAAACACTTGTACAGGCATCTACAGTATCTACACGTGGAACAACCTTCGTAGGAATTCATGAGCACCAGACACAAATCCCTCCATCATTCCCCTTATTAACATAAACTTTACAGATTAAAATTACTTTCGCAGGTTCTATTTCATCTTGATAATAACCAGCAAGTAACAAGTGCAAAGTCTGCAGTCACAATCCATCTACTGTGTCTCGTTTCCCCACTCCCCCCCCACACCCCAAAACCCCCCCACACAAACCCCAAAGCGTTGCCCTATCACATCCTTGCAGTAATACTGTTTCTGCAGTCAAACTGCCCGGCTGGTTTATGGTAACACACAAAATACCAGACTAACAGCTTCGGGCATTGTCAGTCACCTCAGTACAATGCCAGTTCATCAGCACAGTGGCAGGCCTCTAGGAAGACAAGAAATATGAAGCAGTTGGATATTTCAGTGTGCTTAAACACAGAACATAAGGCTGCTTGGTGCCCCGTGACTGAAAGGAAAATGGCACCACGTTATCAGTTAAAACATTTACAATAGAAAGATAAAAACAGCAAAATGTGTCAGTCTGAAACGAGTTCTTTGGTAATGAAAAACAGCAAACCGTAGTCTTTTTCCAAACACGGATTTACAGCCTGCTTGTCCACAATAAAATATTTCTACTTGTTTAAAATATATCTCCCATGTTGGTGCATAACAAATAGTCCAGTACCTCAATTATCTACACATCAGCTTTAACTGTATTTTAGTGTGCAGCCGTATCTGCCCACTGGCAGACAAACTATAGATACACATTCATATATATATAATATATATTATTTATAAAAAAAAATTAGAGAAGTCAAGGACCCTAGGGAATACGCATTCTGTATGGACAGATCTAAATGTACAATACCTTCCAAAGTTTTCCACACACTGATATGTGTAGTAAGTGCAAAAAATACCGCGGTTCAGTTAATCCACGATTTCCTGTTTTCTTGTTTCCTAGAAAAAGCAGAGGCCGCCGCATCTCCTGAATGACAGAGGCCTTCTCCTGCTTTAGGAGTGGATGGAGAGCCCTGAAGTACAGAACTCCTCCGTTTCTCTGAAGTGGAAGATGCCTGAGACCGCCAAGTGCTGCTGCATTTCCTCGTGGATGCTGGTGCTTTACTGAGGCGCCCGGGGCGAACAAACACCCCGTGCCGTGGTTTGCAGTGGAAGTACTCTCTGCCTTTGACAGTCCCATCGTGTTTCCCTTCAATGAAAATAAAGGCACAGAATTAATTGTTGGGATGTTCACACGTTCATTAGATGTGTAATTCTGGTACTGAAGTGCGAATCTCTCTGACTATCTGTGAAAGAGACAAGATTTGTAGCTGTGAGTGCTGAAATCAGATAGATGCCAAGCACAAGGATGAGCAAAACCTGGAAAGGAAGTCTTGAACTGTGACCAAAGAAAGACATCCTAAAATATTATTCCAATAACAAACAGTTTAAAAAGCCACATGTCTGCTCTTTTTCAAAACAAATAACTCTCAATTACTTATGAAGTTTAGTACTTACCTGTCAAAGAAATTTGTAGTATAAGTGCTAGTATCTATTAAACTGCTAAAAAAGCCATCTTTTCAAAATACCTGAAGCCATTCTCTGTAAGAATCCCTTAGCATTTACAGAAGACAGGCTCTTTTTCAGACCTCGCCAAACAGAAGTCAAAGAAAACCTGTGCACTGTAATTAAGTCTTTACCTAGTAGAAAAATAAGTCTCTCTGAAAGCTACAGGCAGCAAACTCACCTGACAAGTGAAGTCCATGGCTAGCACTGCCCATGAACCTGGAAGTTGAAATATATCTGCTAATTTTAGGCTTTGCTTGTTTTGTTTTTTTTTTTTTTTTGGCCTATAAACAGACAGGTACCAATGGCAACTACTAGGACATGCAAAGCATTATTTTGCATTAAGTAAAAGAACAGGGCTTTGAGACAGCTAACAATCTTTATCAAAGCATCTCTATAAACAGAAAGCCTAGAATGCTACGTTTCAGATGTCAAGTGATTACAAAATTGCAAGTTTTTCCCCAAGGGTGAACAGAGAGTATGGTTATAATGCAACTTTAAACAGATCATAGTAACGGCACAGATAATCCAGAGCATAGTCAGCCTTACCTAACTGAACGTTTAGTTCAACTCCAACCCAGATGCCAGCTGAAAAATCCACCGTCCCAACATATCTCACTGTGCCCACCTTATTGCTTCCAACACAGACTTGCTCACCCACTGCCACCCAGCTAGGCAAGACATGGGTTTGATCTGCAGAAGCACTGTCTTCACAGTCAGACCCATCCAAGTGGTCCTTCCCAGTAAAATCATCTATGGAGATATCAGGATAAGTCTCACAGTCTGAAGTCTCTTTTACTACCAAAGGCCTTCCCGCAGCATTTGCAAGCTGACTGCCTGCTGTTGCAGAGCCCAGCTGGGTCTCACACGTGTCCTGCTCCTTGCCAGTTCCTGGGGATAACTCCGAGGTGCTCACTCCATTGGAGGACGCAACAGAACAGGGCTGTGGAGATGCTGAGTGGTCAAAGTCTTTTCCATCTTCGACACCCATGAACTCTGTAAATGAGTGATCTTCAACAATCTCCATTGCGTGCTCAACGGTAGCTTCACGTGCAGAAAATTCAACTGGATGACAAGCATTTCTGCCATCTGAGGAGCTTAGAGCTGAAAGTGATCCAACTCTGGGTAACTGCTGAGAGCCTGTGTCAGTGGCACTGAGGGACAGTGGAACTCGTTCTGTTAAGGCACTGTTTTCTTTGAGTGGTAACACAGGTAACTTTTCTCTCGCTAACTCCTTTTCTGCCTCACAAGATTCCTTGTTCAAGGATCTTGTATCATGTGCAAGGGATGATCCTGAAGGGTCATTAGAGTCCAGTTCCTTTGTGTGACAGGCTAGCTGGTCTGTGCTATCACTAGAGGGAATAAGCATGTCAGACAGAGTAGCATTAGAGGCACTGTGGGAAAAATAGCCACTAGTGATACTGCTAGTGGTGGGGCTGCGGGATACCTCTTTCTCAAGAGCACGTGAACTCATGAAGTCTGATTTAGAAGAAAACCACTCCCTGTTTTCCAGGCTAGCATTGTAAACACTGAAGTCAGCAAATTCCTCTGGTACGTAAGGTCGGAAAGTTTTAAAACTTTGTGGGCTTATCAGTTTCTTATGAATGGCCTCCAGCTCACTGTCCTCCTCCTCAGAATCCTGCAAAAGAGAGTCAAGTGGCATTAGCAGCCTACAACAGTAAAGTTCTCAAGAAAATTAACTGTACTTGATTTTTCCCTTCTGAATATGAAGAAACGTGCATTTAGTATTCCTCAGCTGGAGAAGAGAAGCTCCCTCTGAAAAGAACTGTTGGCAACGTAACCCTATCCACATTATCTGAGCCATTCAATTTTTACAAAATAAAGATTCCATCCAAATAGTCCAGAAAATATAAAGCAATATAGTTGGGCATAAGGAAAGTTTGCATTAAAAAGTTAGATATTCTCATATTTTCATCACATTCTGTTTTTGAAAGCCATGTATTACAAAACAATCCTGCTCGTTATTTGGGCTTATTAAACCTACTGAAGATATCTGATAGAACCACTTGACTATCTAACAAAATGGATACACAGGAACAGAGAAGGGCTGAAAGGGGCTCCGCTGCAATGCTGATTATTAATCATTCTGCACAATAGGGTTTTCTATTCATCTCACACCACTAAGGCAAAATAGTGTTGCTTACTCCTAGCTATCACACTTGAACACATTCACAATGCTTGAAAACAAAGGCAAAAAAAATCAAGGAAGCATTTACGTGCATTCATGTACATGTTTGGAGGGAAATACGTGACTCCAGTTAACCTGACAGAATTTGGAAGCAGCTCCCCCAGTTTCACAATGGGAAAGAGCAATGATATGTGGTGAAAAGTCCAAATGTGGCTTTCACAGAATGCATGGAAGCTGAGAACAAGGGGTTTGAGGACGTCAGTTTGTCAGGATGCATCTGAGCAACACCCCAGCAACACGGCCATGCAGCTCTCGTCAGGATGAAATACAGTAGGCATGACTCCACATCCAGGCTTTTCAAACACTTCATTTCTTCATTTAAAGACATGTGTTTGTATGCATGTGTATGAACACATATCTCATGTGTGTGCACACATAGATACACACATGCATGTATTAAATGATTCATTTATGATAAAGTCCCAAGAGTATAATACTAAAAAAAAAAACCCCAACCCAAAAAGCCTGTTGAAATATATAAAAGTTTAGAAGAACTTAAGTGCCTATTATTTCTTTATGTTCAATATGTATTTCAAATACTAATTAGTGCAAGTCTCAAAGACTGATCCTGCATGATAACCAAAGCAGTTTCACACTTTCTCCTCTTCCATGATTCATGGCAGGTTTCTGAAACACAATACTTAACCAGATGATCAAAGCACTGAGAACCAACACGTTTAAAGACAAAAATACTTAAGAGAAATTTTGCTGTATTTCATAATAACCAGGACAAAAAGTTTCAGCATGATTCATCTTAATGACATTCTCTTGACCCTTATCAGCTTTCTTTTCTACCTCAAGTCACTTAATCCCCTGCTGAAGCTACCTCTAACACAGTAATAGATAGAATATATATCAAATGTCTCTACTTACATAGGCCCATCATTCCTAGGAACTTCAGATCTTACCTTTTACCACTTAAGGCATTTTTGCCCATCCGTGATGATCTAATAATACAAGCACGACAAGGCATGCAGGTGAAGACAATACCTCTTCACTAGACTGTTTTAACCAGCTGGACAAACCCCACTGGCTTTCAGACTTAAGGAAGTCATGACCTCTGGATATCAGCCTCATTTTGGGTACACAATTAAAGACAGCATGAAATTAGCATGTGATTCAGCAATTATCTTAGGATTACTGCCTAAAGTTTTCAGTTTGCATCAGGACTACAACAAGTGCTTCAAATTCACTTGCTGATCTCATCTATACTTCTCAAAGTTTTATCAAAGGGAAGAAACTGAATCACGCCCCTCTCTACCTATCTTTAATACAATACTGTATTCTGTACTGATTGCATCTTCTCAGTGCCCCACTAAACGCCCCACTGAGTGTAACAAGTATTCTTAATACACCTTAAATTAAACAAATGTTTAAAATATTTGACAGATGAGGACAGAAAGTCAGACTCCTAAAGAAACTCATCACATGCAGGGAAAGAACTCATGCTACCATATTCTTTCAGTAAATCTTCTACCCTCCCTTCAATTTTCACTTCCAGGTCTTACAGTACTTATATTTTGCAGCCTGAAAAATCAGAACTCAGAAAATTTTCACCTGCTGTAACAGAAAACATACCCAGATACTTATACAGTGCCTGTCATTGCTGAACCCGAACTCTGAACACTGCAGACATGTCTGTATGACATCTCTCTTCTGCTTAAATAGCCTTGTATAACAAAGCCTCTAATATATAGGCAAATAGATTTGTTCAGCTTGCTTATGTCAGAGTGTTCACAGAATTGTTTATGATGGAAGGCATCTTAAGACCAATCCTCTCACCCAGTCTGGGTCACTAGAGCAAACTGTCCAGGGCAGTGTCCATGTGGGTGAATTTTGAGCTTCTCCAAGGATGGAGGCTCCACACTCTGCACAATCCGTTTCAGCATTTGACTGTTCTCACAGTGAAAAAAGTATTTTCTTATGTTCAAGTGAAATCTCTTATTTCAGTTTGTGCCCACTGCCTATCCTGCCACTTGTACTATTGAGAATCGTATTATCAAGGTTGGAAAAGACCTCCAAAATCATCCAGTCCAACCACCCACCTACCACCAATTTTGCCCCACTAAACCATGTCCCTTAGTATGACCTCTAAACATTTCTTGAACACTTCCAGTGATGGTGACTTCACCAGCTCCCTGGACAGCCTGTTCAATATCTCACCACTCTTTGGGAAAGAAATTTTTCCTAACATCCAACCTGAATCTCCCCTGGTTCTACTTGAGGCCATTATCTGTTGCCCTATCACTAGTTAGTAGGGAGAACAGGCTGACCCTGACCTTGCCACAGCCTGCCTTCAGGAAGCTGTACAGAATGATAAGGTCACCCCTGAGCCTCCTCTTCTCCAGATTGAACAATCCCAGTTCTCTCAGATGCTCATCATAAGACCTGTGCTCCAGACTCTTCACCAACTTCATTGCCCTTCTCTGGGCATGCTTCAGGGCCTTGATGTCTTTCCCATACTGAGAAGGATCTGCCCTTTTTCTACTCCCTCCCATTAAGTATTTTTTATGCATTAAGATTCCCTAAGAGCCTTTTCTCCTCCAGGATGTACAGTCCCAGCTCTCAGCCTCTCTCTCCTCAAATGCCAGCTGCACCAAGTGCAGTGGTGACCTTTGTAGCTGTGCAACAAGACTCACGTCAGTAAGCCCTAATCTTCTCTGCACTGCAGAGCCCAGAACTGAACACAGTATTTCAGACACAGGCTCAGCAGAGCTGAATAGAGAGCAGGAATCTCTTCACTCAGCCTGCTGATGATGCCCAGTGTAACTGTTGGTTTTCTCTGTAGCAAGGATATGTCCAGATTGCCACAGGCAATTATGGCTCATGGCCAGCTTGCTGTCCATAAGGGTTTCAGTGTCCTTTCAGCCTTGGTCCTGGTGATATTCCTCCCCAGATGTAGTGTCTCATATTTCTACTTGTTGAACATGACAATATTCTTCTCTGCCAAGTTCTCCAGCTTGTTGAGGACCCTCTGAATGGCAACACAATTTTTTGGTCTACCAGTTGCTTCTCCCAGTTTTGCATCACCTGCAAACTTGCTGACAGTGTATTCTGTCCAGGTCATTACTGAAGATGCTGAGCAGTACTGAGCCCCAGTATTTCAGACAGAGACTAAGCCACTTGTTACACGCCTCCAAGAAGTTTCTGTGCTTCTGGCAGCTCTCTCGGCCCAAGCATGCAGCCAGTTTTTAATTTACCTCAGCATCCACTTATTCAATCTATACATGCTGGCCTGTCTACAATGATGTTATAGGACATGGTGCCAAAGGCTTTGCGAGCATCAAGTTAAATAACGCTGCTCTCCCCTCATCCACTAAGCTAGTCACTGTAGTGTAGAAGGTGACTCATAAATCCATGATGATGACCTGATCACATTCTTGTTCTTCAAGTGTTTAGAAATGCAGATTGAGGATTTTCTCCATCACCTTCTCACGAACGGAACTGAGGCTGACCGGTCTGTAGTGTGCTGAATCTTCCTGCTCTCTCCCAGTTTCCGTGACCATTCAGGGGTAACTGAGAGCAGCCTCACAACAACACCAGTTAGCTTCCTCTGCACTCATGCTGGATATGCATATACAGTAAAAGTGCTGCTCAAACTGGTGGCCCTCTGCCAAGGGCAAATCTAACTCGTTCCAAACTTTTCCTTGAGTCTTGGGGCCTGAAGTTCCTGCAGGCTTGTTTTTGCAGGTAAATATGGAATAAAGACAACATTGTGTACCTCTGCTTTCTCCAAGACATCTGTGACAAGTTCCCTTGTTCCATTCAGGAGCACAATTAACTGAAATGTCCACATGTGTCTATGTGACAAGATCTCCAGTCTAACTTGGAGATTTTTCTTTTTCCCCCATTTTCTCCCCCAAAACAAAACAAACAGAAGGGTGTGCTAGCTGACCTCATTTTTCTTTTATCCTACATTTTTGAAGTGATCACTACTCACTGACCCTTATCTGTAACAAGGCCTCATTTTCATTTCTGTAACATTCAATTTGTATTAGAAGCTTTTAGTAGATATAAGTCAGTCTCGCTATCCATACAAGACAGCCTCTTAAGTTGAACAAAGATTTCCAATCACATTAAATCTTTGTTAGCAGGGCAATCAGTATCTGAAGATGTCTAAGTTGTCTAAATCTGACAAGTCCAACCAGATTTCAGACTATCTGCTCAAGTAATGGCTTGGCAGCTTTTGCTTGCAACTTTTTATGTATATTATTTGGATTTAATTTGAAACTATTTATTTCTCTAGGGAGGATTGACAGTGCTATGAAATGGTACGCAATAGCTTTTAAAGTGATTTACATTATTGAAAACTCTTATTTTGATCTGAAATTTATAGGTAGTCCCTTAAAAGGAAAGTGCAGAATTTATATCCACTTTGAGACCATTCAAACATAAAAGCATTATGCAAAATCATCTTTCTGCATATTGAAGTTCACCTAATACTCATCTCTGATGGATATTTTCTCAATTAATCTCCTTACTCCTCCTCTTTCAGCCTTACCTTGCAATTTTCTGCATAGAACAAAAGCTTTGTAAGTGAGTTTCAAAACACTACGGACTGTCACTTATCAAACAATCTACTTTTTCAGATGTTACAAGAACTCTCCAAATAGTTACATACTTTGCAAAGGAAGTACCATGTCTGGTGGACAGTAAGCAAACACCCACTTGAGACCAAGAGGCATTTTCTTAACAGTCTTCTGTTTCACCACAGAATCCTGCAAGCCCTGCAAGATGCCTCATCTAACTGGAAAAGAATTTCAGGGGACACAGGAATCATGCCTAGAATCCACCTGGATAAAAGTCAGTGTAAATGAGAAATGGTTTTGCAGACACACAGACATCAACAACACGATCAGGAGATTAATAAAAATCACATTGCCAGTAATCAACAGTTTGGGGGTTATCTAACATCAGAAATCCCAAACCTAAGTTACAGAGATGCAGTCTCATTCCTAGATTATGGCATTTCCTTTCAGAGCACCTCTTGAGCCTCCAGATGGAGAAATTCTAAAAGTAAAGCAATTTCAGGGCCATTTAAATTCCTGAGCATTTCAGATGTGGGGAAAAAAGAAGGAAGCCTTCTTGTACTGCTCAGGCTGCTGGAATAACCAAAGTATAAAATCTTTGAAAAACTGATAAATTGCAAGCACCCTCCTGGGAGATAACAGAAAAAACTGTTATATAAAACAGATCTAAGAACTGGTTACAGAAGGAATGCCCCAGAAAGAACTAAGGACATAAGATGACAAATCAAGATATAGTAATAACAGAAGCAAAGTAAGCAAGAACAAAAAGCAGTTTCCAAACACCTGCTTAGTAACAGTAAGTTACTGAGTAGTAACCTAGTTTGTTACTAGTTAAAAAGTACTTAAGTTTTCATATCCCTGAATTATAGCTCTGAAGGAACCTCAAAGATGCCCATTTCAGTTTTTAATTTGAAGTTAATAACACTTATTTGGTGGTTGCACCACAGTTGCTTCGACATTAAGTTTATTGCCCACTGACAGGATTTGCTCCTACACACACAAAAAAACCAAAACCCAATCCTGAGACACATAATTACAGGCAGTATGCAAATACAATCAGTATAAAGACATTACTCTGCCCTTGGCATATTTCACTGTATTCATTTTATAGAGGGCACACCCTTGTGTCAGACTGCTTTGGAACACAGGTGGAAGTGCCACCTGAAATTTCAGGTTCAAAGCTGCATTTAAGGCCAAGTAAAGAAAAGCCTTTTCTAAGCCACTTAAGCCCTCTGCCTTTGACAGATGCTTTGAATATTCCAGAAAATGTTAAGATCATGGCCAAACATGCGAAAAAGGCCAAATATTACTCTCACGTCTACCTAGATGCAAAATACAAGTCCCATTAAAATTATGGACTTCTGTATGTTTGGTCACTTTGTTGTTATAATACATTTTATATACAGTACAATTTAAAAGATGCAAGAAAGAATCACACTTGAAGCTACATCAATCCTCCAGTGATTAGTTAGGAGTAAGAGGCTCTGTGCTTTGCAGCAATCGTTCAGAGTATAGATAAATAACGTGAAACCTTCACTTGCAATCAGAGAGGAGCAGACTGCTGAAGTTTCATGTGGAGGCACGATGCTGCCCAACTCATCTGAACTGCCCTCAACTCGTACTGAGGACACTATTCTTCCACATGCAAGAAATGCTTACTCCAGCAGCCTAGCTAGCACACAGACTTGTTCCAGCTCTGAAAAACACAGAGTAGCCTGGGAAGCCTTACAAAGGCTTCCTTTCTAAGAGATTAAAAAAACTCAACCAATAATCAAAAAATAAAAACACACACAAAAAACAAGCCAGAAACCATCATTTGCAAAACTCAATGCAAAAAGCTTCTCAATATCCTCCCTAGGATAGGGAGCAGCTGCCAGTTCTTACCTGTCTCCTCTGTACTCATTCCAGCAATCAGACAGAAGAGCAGATCCAGCTGAAACATAACTAGCTCTATGCATAGTTTTTCACCTAGGTGGATCAGTCCCCTTAATATGGCTTACTATGCAACCAAAGAAGAACCTACGCCGAGGCAAGACAAGTCAGTGCAAGGGCATGAGCAAGCATCCGGGAACTCAAAGTACAGCTCTTTCCAGTGCCTCGTAGGCTACAGTGAGTCTGAAGCATTCAGTGAGTTAGTTTCAGTCTAATTGGAAATGTCTGATGCAGGAGACTGCCCTTTTCCAGCTCCAAAAGCTCCTGCTTATCTTTGGAAAACACCACAGGCAAATATCCACGTTAATTCACAGCATGCATGGGCTGCTTTGACTGAAGGGATCACAATTGCCCTGATGTTGCTATGGAAGATTTTCTAACAGATTACGTTCTATGGGATGTTTTTCAACTCAGTGGAAGATTTTGCCTTCCAAATACCTTTCATGCTATTTGTGTCTGTGACTCAGCTGACATACTGACTCACACCTCCTTATGGAAAAGTAACACGATGGAGACGAAAACAGCTGCAACACAGGAACAGCAGCCAAGCTTCTAAAGCATGCACCAGAACTCTCTCAGGAGACTTTGGTGCAACAATCTACATTAGAAATAACCAAAAGTGATTTTTCTCACAGCATGGCTAAGTGGCAGGAAATGAAAATGCTGAACAGGAATCCCTCACTAGAACCTTGAGTAACTGCTCATAGTACTATTCAAGGGAAATAAATTCAAGGTTCCAAATGCTAAATCTAAAGCTCTGATTAGAGCAAATATTCACAGCCATTTTCCACAGCTCAAAAACCAAGTTCTTCATAAAGCAGAAATGATGCATCTTTTGTTGAAGCAGCAGTGAGAAAACAACAATTTGACAGCTGAATAGAAAAATAAAAACCCTCCACCTAATTGCACCACCTGAATTACGATGAAGAGAGGCTGCAGGTTAATTAAGAGCAGCAACCTTATTTTAGTGATATTAATCCCACACCAGGCAATTAGATAAAGCTTTTATAGCGTACCCACACCTAAATGCAGTTACTTACACCAAGTGGGATCATTCCATTTACTCTGGGGTATAGTCACAAAATCTGGATAACATACAAGGCATATTAGAGTGACAACAACGTGATCCACTAAGCTACACTTTACTTGATTATTTGTGCCCTGTAAAAACTGAAGCCTCCCATTTTCCACCCTCCCCACGAGAGGAATCACATAAATTAAAAAAAAAAAAAAACAAAACCAAAAACCCACCAACAATTATTTCCAATTAAAGATTGCATTTGTAAGCCAAGCAAGCAAGTGCTCATTATAATTATTAGTTATAATCACAAGTGATTGTATCCACATTACTCCTTCTTTTCCTGCTGCAGTAGCATGAAGTACCTAAAGCCCACCACCAAAGGGCCCTAAGCCCACCACCAGGCCTCGTAACAGAAGCTGGTACAGAACTTACAATCTTTTCCTCATGTATGCTATTGCTTTCTACAGGCATGCTGTTGGCATTACTTCCTGAAGGCACAACACAGCCAGCACAATGCACCTGAGATGAAGGCATACTCTGCAAAGGTTAAGACACACAACACATCACACAAACCACGAAGGCTAAATATGCATGTGAGGCAGAAAGGCATTAAGACACGATGAAAGCCAAACACTCATAGTGGCCACACGTGTCACCAAATCTCAAGTTAACAGGCAGAAAGACTCATGTGTTTGCACTCTTCTCAACAGTGTTTTATGATGAAGAATAAAAGTCAGGCTTCTAACCACCACAGAATTACTAGAATCACTAGAACTAGATAGAATTAATTAAAAAAAAAAAAAAAAGGGGGGGGGTTATTGTTACTTTTAAGTAGAAATACGCAGTAAAGGAGAATACTTACCAAGAAGTGAAACAAACCCAATACTTCAGGTAAAAAAATAAACAATGAAAAACCCACCAAATATAATGAATTTTAACCAAATAATTACATAACTGTATTGGAACAGAAGCATGTGGCAATCAGTTTGCCAAGAATGCAAAATTAGTTGATTCCACAAAGAACAAGGTAGCTTGCACATATTACCTCCTGACTAAGCAGAGGTCGACTTTCAAGTGGGGTCTTCCTTTTATGCTCCTCTTTCACTGGCATTAAGGGTTTGAAAAACTTGGGTGGCTGAGGAGAAAATGCTTTAAAAGGGCTGGCCATTAAAGCATGAGAATTCTCTGACGTGATACCTAAGGGGCAAAAAAAATAAAATAAATGATGTTCTACTTTGGTTCTTCATATCTTAACTGCAAGAGCAAACATTCAAAATACTAGAAGGTTAAGCTGCGCATTTGGCAAATTGATGGCTGCAGAAAGAATGGCAGTATTTTAGTATTTAACCACTGACTCAAGCATGAGATCTAGAGTGATCTAGAGATGCAGAGCTCTACAAAGGCAGATTGTTTTCCTCTGAGCTGTCTAGAAAGAGAAGGAAAGTAGAGAACAGCAGTATCTGCCCTTTCCATTCTGAGGCTCCAGTTTTTTTTCTTTTTATCTCAGTCATAAAAAGTGGGAAGCATCCCTGAAACTCAAACTGACAGCTTTTTGCTTCCTGTGCCTCATCTTTCTCTGTCCACAACACTGCAATTCTGCACAGGAGCCAAGCCAGTGTAACTAGGCTGATGAAAAAGAAAGTTATGGGCAAGGAAGCACTGGCTCAACCAACACTTCCTGTCCAAGAAGAGCAGGTTACAACTCAACCTAAAGAAAATAAGACATCTGTGATTGCTGACATGAAAGAACAAATATTCAAACAATGCAAAGAACCTGCAAAAGGAGTCTTCCCACTTTCACACAAGCCTCTTCATTGTCAAATTCATAAATCTGCAGCAGCTTTTCCTTTTCTCTCCTCCCTGTTTTGATCCACGTTTATCTTGTCTTGTATTTGATTCTGAGCACTCTTACATTTTCCTGAATATCTTCATACATTTCTCTCCCCCCCATTCACAGATTATGTTAAGCTGCTAAAGCAAGAAGCTGGATAAAGCATTTAAATAGGAGAAAAGAACTGAGAATTTAATAGGAAGAAATTTTTATCTGTTTTTTATCTGACTTCCAATCTAGCACAGTGATTAAAACCACAAGCAAAATCATTACACATATACTTTAGAGTCTCACCGCTGCCCTCTTTGCTCTTGCGTGGTGACTCCCTGGGTAAAGTACCATAGCATGATACATCCTGATAACTGGAAGAACAGTCAGACATATCTAGGTGACTTTCAGACCAACCCTAAGAAACAAAAATACATAAATATACATGCTGATACAGGAAAACATGGAGAAGTTAATAGGTAAACTCAAAAGCTCATTTTATTCTTTTTTTAAAACCTCAAATATATCAATTTTACAACTTCAAGATATTTTTCTGTCTTGAAAATGATGGATAATTCAGAAGCAACTAGATTTTCTTTGATAATATGAGAGATGGTCCAAAAGTAATCCCTATTTTATTATGCTGGCCCACGACATCAGAGGCAGATGATAACAGTATGGCAGTGGATGTTGAACTTTCCCATCAATACTCTGTTTTCTCTAAGGTTTTCTCTATCTTTCTCCTTCTTAAATATCATTTTCTATAATTCTAATATAAAAAGCAGAGGTGAACAAGAGTTTAATTCAAAATAGGATGTAATTAGCATTTGTTACATATATTATGTAAACATACTTTTTTTAACTTCACACTTCCATACCTTATCATCTTCATCACAGGCAGAAAGATCTAGTCGGCTACAGGACACCTACAAGACACCAAGAGGTAGAAATGACAAAATGCATTCCTTTTATTTATAAGATACCTTAAGGAGACACCGAACATTTAGTCCTAACTTTTCAGATAAGATTACTTAGAAGGACAGCTACATTTGTTCTGTCTGAGTGGGTGATACAATAATGCATAAAACACACACAAAATGGAAACTATCCCTTCCACCATGAAAAGAAGTAAAAGAGACTTTTACATCAAAGTGAAAAACAAAAAGTAATGTGAATAACTGCAGCCATCATTCTACAGTTCTTCTCAGACTATTACCTTTCTACAAGAAGGAGAGTTCTGACCAACTCTCCCTCTGCCCTTGCTTTCTTCCAGAAAGGAAAACTGTGAGCAGGGATTTCTATTGGATGACTGACTTTTTTCATGCATGTCAACCTTCCTACAGGTTGACTAGCTCTATTTCAGAATAATCATTACCATATCACATCGTGCAAGTATTCCATCAGTACACAGACAACACCATTCCACCCAGTTCACACGAATTTACCAGAGGAGAAAGGTTCTTACATTGTGGACATTTGGTGTGCTCATGCTTCTGCGGATGTTTCTTGCTTTGGTAGAGAGTGCTTCTTTGACTGTAACTGCCTATGTAGAAGAACAGATCCCACTTAAATAGTGCTGTTATCAGTGATGAACAATGTCCTCATGAGAAGCAATCAAACAGGACAGAATCACGGAATCATTGAGGTCAGAAGAGATCTCTGGTGGTTTTATGGTTCAACCTCTCTGGGTTCAAGTGGCTGCCTACCTACAGCCACTTACCTAAGGGAACATCCAAATGCCTTTTAACTATCTCCATGGGAGGAAACTCTTCAAATCCATTCCATTGCTCAGTCACTCACACAGCAAAGAACTGCTTCACTTCCTGATGTACAGACAGAACATCCATTGCCTCTTATCCTGTCACTTGGCACCATTGAAAAGAGTCTGCTTCTGCTGTGTTTGAACCCTCGTTCTAGTTACTGAAATGATTGAAATACAATGAAATGATCTACTACCCCACCCTCCAGCCTTCCTTCTGCAGTCTGAGAAGTCCTAACTTTGTCTTTTCATCACAGGAGAGATGTTGCAGTTCCTTCATTAACATTTTGGCCCTATGCTGTATTCACTCCAGTATGTCTGGGTTTCTCGTGCACAGGCGAGCCAAGAACTGGACACAGCACTCCAGATGTGGCTTCACCAGTGCTGAGTAGAGGAGAAGGATCACCTCCATTGACTTGCTGGCAATACCTAGTGCCTAATGCAACTCAGGACACTACTATTCTTCTTTGCTGCAAAGGCACTTTGGTGGCTCATGATCAACTTGGTGTCCATGAGGGAACTCCAGGTTCTTTCCTGTCAAAATGTTTTCCAGCTGGATGCCCCCAGCACGTCCTGGTGCTTTGTCCCTCTCCAGGAGCAGAACTTTGCACTTCTCCTTGTTGAACTTCATGAGATTTCTATTACTCATTTCTCCATCATGTCAAAGTCCCTCTGGATGGCAGCATAACCCTTTGGTATAATCAACACTCCCTGTAGTTTTGAGTCATCTGCAAAATTCCCGAGGGTTCGCTCCATTCAGATCATTAATACAGATGTTAAACAGAACTAGGCCCAGTACCAATCTCTAGGGTAACTGCTAGTTACTGGGCTGCAAGCAGGCCTTGTGCCACTGATCACCACACACTGGGCCCTGAAATTCAGCCAGAATCTTTTTTTTTCCCCCCAGTGTGCTTAATGACAACAAACAGGGCCTGCATTTGCAAATCTTAATTTGCACACACAGTCACCAAAACTTCTATCTGGAATCCAAATCCATACTTTGGCTTTTGCCTGTTCAGCTTCTGACTATGACACCACTAACATACTCTACTTAATCCACCTCTGCTGCAATTCTGTATTTCACACAAGTATCTCAGTCTTACATTTATCCCACATTGTTCAGTGTTCTCACTCAACTGAAGAGTTGAAAAACAAGCAATTCTTATTTTAAAACGAAAACCACCCACATCCTCTACTTAAATTGTAATTAAAAAGTTCAAAAGATGCCCTAAGTGCCTTTTCCTTACCTGCCTTAGTCGTTCAAGACTCAAAATGTTCTCCACTTGCAGAACTCCACGTGTGTATTTCTCAATGTAAGTTTCACCATCAGATGTACCCTCATTTTCACTCCTTGCAGCCATCAGAGCTAAGGTCTCACGATCCTCAATTTCTTCTGTAGCCTAAATTGCAAGTTATACTGTTTAGCCTTTCAAGTTGAAGTGTGTTGTTTCTAAGGTGTTGACTCCCATCATCTCAATTCAGAAATTAATCAGTAATCCTAACGATAATCAACAATCCAAGACTTTTCAACACGTGTAAATGATGCTGAAAGGAAGTAAATGCAACTTCCTTCTTGAACCTCAGACTCTCTGCATAACTTCTCTAGAACTTAAATTCTAAGTATTATCATACAAAACAATTACACGGGGACTACACTATTTGTTTTCATTTGTCCAGTTTACCTTTAAAATCAATTTTTGAATACATTTTCAATTTCTACAAGTTTGCAATATAAAAACCAGTTCATATTCCTGTTGAAATAAATTTCTCAGCTGTTTTTCTGTTTTCATTGACATGAATTCCCTTTCGAGTAGCCTCTGCATTTCCCTGTAGTGGCTAATACAATTTCATAATACAAGAACACAGTTTACACAGTAAGATAGAAAATAAAATCCTCAGTTTTCTACTGTTTATAGGTAGAAATGATCTCACTATTGAGCTACAGGGTATGCACTTTGGCAAGCTGCCTCATATCAATAAAGCAGGGCTCACTGCAATAGGTCATTCTGTTACTTTCAGTGAATTTGCCAGAGAAACATGGTGCAATTTACCTTAGGTATATTAGATACTATTTCATAGGTTACTCCACAGGCATAGTATATATTTTTCAAGGATATTCTTCTTTTCAGGCTCTGGGTAAAACTCTAGAAATAAAGTAATTTTCAGTTACTTCTTTGATAATGATTACTTACAGTGCTTTAAGACAAAAAAAAAGTTGCAGTGCAAAAGTTTAATTTACCACATAAGCACAATTTTCAGGACAATGATTTAGAAAGTTCCTTTTCAGTATTCACAGTCCTTAAAAGTACTCGACACAGCCCTGTGCTCAGTATAAAATGCTGCAAAGTTCAAATAGTAACAGTTTACTCCTGTTTTTCACTGAAGCTCAGTTCCTGTGTTATAACCTGTAACTGAGAAACTGTGGCTGTAGGAAGTCTAATATGCTAACACTCCTCATTTTGCCAGCCACCTGTTAAAAAAGCAGAAAATTCCTTTTGCTATAGCAAAGCACAACTCTGATTTCTAGCCACAGCTGGAACAGTAACCACAGCTTTTACAGTTATAGTCACAGACTTGGTATGCTTCATTATCAGATTAGTAAGCCTTTATGTCATGAACTGTAAACTTAACTTCCACCTCATAAGGCATTTTAGACAAATGAAAGTAGCAAGGGAAAATATCTCAAATACAAAAAGGAGAGGAATTCAGCTATTAGTAAGTTATTTAGTAGCACAACAGCTGCTTGGTGTCCCAACTCCACTTCCCTTTCCCACTGCAAAATCTGAAGCATTTCTGACATATGCTCTTGGTCTCAGTTGTCTGGGAAATAGAAAGCAATGCAATTTTAGAGAGCATCTCATTGTCCAAGCTACTTTTTTTGTTGTTGTTTTTGTAAAAGTAGCATCTGCCATGCTGTGAACCAAATCAGGTTGAAAAACAAACAGCTCAAAGGGCTGTACCAGACAAACACAGCATCACTGCAACCCGTGCTAATCTGTTTTTCATTTGTCTTTCATAAGAACAGGAGACATGCAAAACAAAGCAAGCAGCTAGGAAAACATTCATAAAATCAGGGATATAAAACAAAATTAGTAATAACATATGAACTTATTACCTGCTTGTTATAAATATTGGCTGCAATCCTTTTCCGTAAGACCAGTTCCATTGCAGCAGGATGGCTGAGCTGCACAGTAGTCTTCACTATTAAGTAAATCCTCTCATTTTGAGGAGTTACTCTATTCAGATGCACAGAATCATGGACAGAAGAGTCCCAGGCAGCAGTGGCTGAAACCTACACAGAGAAATCACACGGAAAAAGGAAAATCAAAGCCTCAATTACTTCGACAAGTAATTTGCAATGATTTCACATGGCGTAAAACAATACTTCTGTGAAAGGACAGTGAGTATTCATTGTGCAAAATTAAGTAAAATGACCCTTTCATAATAAGGAACAAATCAGAAGGACCATAAAAATAGGTGTTAAGATATCACAGAACATGATGGAACACAAAATCCTTGCCCAAAAAGAAAGTTTACAACCAGAGGAACACAGAGGGGAAAACTGAAGGAAGAAAAACAAACCATTATTGACAGTTTATTGAATTCAATGACAATGCTTCCACTTGTTAGATTAAGTTACAATTTTCTGTACAGAATAAACCTGTTCCCATATTGCAGAAAATCTTTTTCCTTCCCTGTCTCCTGCATCTCAGCATGCCATTTATTCTGCAAATGATCTGTTAAGTATTGGCTTGAGAAGGCACAGAAAGTGGAAGACACACATGTTGACTGATTCCAGGTATGTTTTGGAATTTCTTATTTACAACAATTCTCAATTTATTGCACTTAAGAAGGAATCATGTACTACAAAAGAAAAAGCTTTATTTAATCACTAAGCTTTGCCTGGTGAGGACAAAGGAAGCAGTTTCCTCTGAAAAATCAAAGAGCCCGCAAGAGAAAGGACGAAGGGAAGAGAGAAGAAATTTAATTTACCTCATCATCACTGTGTTTTATGATTGGCAGATAAAAGAATGGACTCCCATGCTCCTTTGGTAGGATTGAGTTAACTCCTGATGCGTGGGGACCTATAAGTTGTTCATTGGCACTGAGGTCATCAGCTAACAAAACAAATGTGCAAAGAAGGAAACAGGTTTGCACCAAAGGATATTAATATACAGAGGCAAAGTTGTAATAATTTCATAATACATTTAGTCCTGATTAATCTTACCATGCATTAGCTCAAAAATAATTCAAGCATACAAAATAGGAACTAAAACCAAGTTAAGATTCCTTCTGAACATGTCCTCACATGGCCTAAACGGAATTCCAATCTATTTCTCAGTATTCATGAAAGGAACTTACCCAGCCAGAAAGTTCCTAATTTACCTAAACAACTCATCTGTATTTAAATCAGCTCTGATGTATCCAGATTGAGAACAGCAGTATTGATAAAGTTAGTTTTTTTATAATACAAAAAAAAACCCTGTTGTGCAATGATCCATGAATGTGTTCTATTGGCTTTCTGTCCGCTAAACTCTGCTTACAATGGAAAACAGAAACATTTCTTGTGAGCACTGATGAAGAAATTTTACAAAAGCAGTGTTCAAAGAAGATATTAGTGTGTTGCCTTTATAAACATGTCTAGGAGTACAGTGATGTGCTGGATGTAACAGGGCTTGTGGATCCTTCTCTACTTCATGTCTAAGAGTTTATACTTACAGACTTCCTAATCAGTCCTTAAATATGGTGCAAACTCCAGTTTCTTGCTGCTTAACAGTGTGTCTGTGTTCTGAGAACAAATATCAGTAGCCTTCTCAAAGTTAAAACTAAGTGCTTTCAAAGGGAGAACACTTAGATATTCTAGCACACTCCTCATCAAACCATCTGTTTAAACTTCTACAGATAACTCAGATCTGGAACAGCTGGGAGATTCCCCAACGTTCTTATGACCTGTGGATTTGTACACTGAAATGCACACAAAATGTTTCTTTCTTTTCTTCCATTTAAACTAAGCTTGCTCTTTCTCAGCTTTTTTTGTTGAGAAAACAATCCTTGTACTCGTATGCTCCCTGATGTGCACCTTAATTTTAAAATAATTGTGTTTAATTATTCCAACATATGTAATCAGAAGAAAGAACATTCTGCAATCTATACCAGACACTGCCATTGACAGAACTCTCTCAGATATTTAAGATGAACTATTCCACCTATCAGTGCATCATTAGAACTAAATTTTATTCTTTTCCTAAGTTTCTTAATCTGTCATTACAGCATACCATTCAAATCAAGGAAGAGGACAGGTATATGTGTTTCCATCCCAGCAGGTGGAATCCTGGAACAAAACAAACTGCTATCAACAAGGAAGACAAACACATGTCAAAACTAATTAGGGCAAACCAATCTCTGTGCAAGATTCATTAACTGTAATCAGTGACTAAAGCAGTCAACATTTTGATGGCGAATCTGATTGACTGTGTTGCATAGACAGTGTTTTGCCTATCTCCACACGTAACTAAATCTAATGCTTTACCAAAACTTAAAGCACACACTTCAGTGCATTACAATTGTTACAATGGTGACAGTTCTAAACATCCCACTGTTTCTTATACAATTAACTGGCTGCAGTCATCTTACACATAAAGGTTAGCAACCTTTCAAACAAATGAATAAGTAACTGCTGACAAGACAGTCTTTATAACAATACATGCATTTCTAGCTACATGACCACAGTATACTTCAGGTGAATAAGGGAAAAAAAATATCTTAAGTTTGAGAGGAAAAAATACCATTACATTATTCACCCAGTGAATAAGAGAGTTAGGTATTATCAGGGACATCAGCATACACTTCATTAGATTTGTTATTTCTTGTCCATACTTTCCCAAATTTAACCTGATGCATTCTTAGTTTTTCCAAGGTTAGTTCCAATGATCTTATTTAAAACACAAATTCAAATGAAAGATACATTAGTAGAAATTTGAATCGAATAAGAGAACAATCTTTTACATTACAATATCTCCCTTCCACACCCTGAACTCAATGAAATCATGTTCTGTAGTTCATTTTAGACACATTCCTTTTTTTTTTTTGCTGAAGGGAGTCAACTTTCAGAATTTAAAACAACAAAGAAGTAAAATACTTTTAAATTCAGAGGTGATGTTCAAACCTTCAGAGCTATCTCAAAACTACTTCATGTAGTAAGTTAACCAGCATCAGAGTTCATGCCAGCTCTGTGTCATTCGTGGCAGTACAGGAAAACGTAGGAAGCAATAAAACACCCTGAGATTTTGACCCTGTAAGTTCACAATGTTCCTGCAGAAGCAGCTCACCACTCCAACGTTTCTTTCTGAACATACCAATTTGCAGGTGCACCGGGGATCCCACTGCCTGGTGCTGGAACAAACACTGCATTCCTTTCTTCCGTCAGCCCGACCCACTGTTCTACCAGCCGAGCTTCTCGTTCGATATCATCCTCAGATTTCTCTACAGAGGAAGAGGTTATATGATGTAAGACACTTCTTGTTGTTGATGAAACAGGGACTAAAGTACTTATGAGTGAGTTTTTAAGCTTCAAACCTTGTTTATTGCTGATCTTTTGAATCTGCTCATCTAAGTATTCTCTGCGTTTTATCAGTGCATCAGACCATCTTTCTCGTACACAGTTTAAGTCTTCTTCCTAACATGGAAGAAAAAAGGAAGTTACTACACTTTGTGGTTAAGACCAAACGGCAGCGAATCTTGTGATAATTTCATCAGAACTGATATTAAACAGCTTGCATGATGCAGAAAACTTTTTTCCCCCAAATAACATGCATGCTAATTAAGTACCTCATCACCCATGAATGGAAATTTGCTTTCAGATCTCAAGTTCCAAAAGGAGAAAAAGAAAATATGATAATTTCAGTTATTGAACAGGATTATACACCGTAGGCTTATTATTCACAGAAGTGGCAATTAAACCTTGTAATAGTGCATGGAATATGAAAACAGGTATAATGAGTTGATTGTAAGTTCTCCTGAAGATTAGATAGGTCAGTATACCCTCAAATCTGCACGAAATTCCACTGCTAGTAGTTGCTATCAGCGCAATTAAAAGGTTTCTCATGCAAACAAAACCCATCATGCAATCATGCTTTGTGGTATCACAGAAAATCTGGCTCATTCTTCTCTGTGATTTGTCAGGAAGCACATAAACAGCCCGCAAGAAGTTAGTGCCTAACTGGTACTTCTGAGGTTGCTGTAAAGTCTAACACATTATCTTATGGGATGTCAGCATAACCTCTGTAAAGCTGCCTACTAAAAATAAGACTTCTATGTAAAATCTCTTCTGTGCTTTAGATTTTTAGACATTTCTTCTTCTGGCCTTTGCCATCTTTTGAACAATTCTTCTTTCAAGCTTTCTCAACTTCGACTGCCTTACATTCACTTATCACAGAAGAGCCACGTTCAAGGTTTCTAAGCTTGAAAATAGGAAGTTTGCTTCGCTGAACTTCTGTACTCCTCGGACTCTCACCCTCCACTTGCTCTCAGAAGCATTTCAGAAAACTGCACAACTCAAGAGGTTAAGATGCTTTCTTTATAAAACAAAATTAAAAAGCCATTTGTTGTGCAATTTGGTTGAGAAGAATTTCTGTACCTGCAGGGCTTTTTTTTCCCCCCTATGAAACTCAATAGAAACTATTTTCATTTTAAATTCAAGTTGAAGTTTTTATTCCTGTTAGGCAATTCCTTTAGCCCATTAGGAGAGCTGACTGCCAATAGAGAAAAGAACACACTGCAAGAGTGTAAAGTCATTAGATGAACTGAAATAGCAGTGTTTTATAGCCCAGGTAGCCTCTTAAATGCATAGCACATATTTCAAAGCTGCTTTTGCTTGCACCACTATGCTTGCTCATTTGAAAGCTGTTGGCTATTAGCATTAGCTGTGCCCCATGCCACAGGATTGACAGCAACAGCATCAATACCTGATAACTATCCATATCACCACCATCATCCTCCTCCTTCTGGTAGGAGAAAATAAATTTTGTAAAAAACAAAAGAACATGCATTTTTCAACAGAAAAATCACAGAAATATCCCCAAACATGAGCGCAAACATTTCTTGACACAAACTTGTAAAATGTTAAAATTACAACATTCAAGTAACCAAAGTCTTACTAACAGAGAGGATCAATTTTTTCTTCATTACAGACTACAGCATCTCAGCCATGATTTTAGAAGTTATATTTAGCAAAAAAAGGAATGTATAGAATACAGCACCAGAAAAAGGACGGAGCAAGCATACAGCCAAACCTCACATTTACAGTTTTGTCCATACTTAAGGTTAGAATTACTTGTGGTTCTGAATGACTGAAAGTGCCATGCTTCCCTGGGTGGCCTGTTCCAATTGTTCTTTGCTATTGCTACTAAAAGAATGCTTTGTTTTCCATATGAATTTGTCTGGCAGCAGCAGCAAGTCATTTATACTTCTTAAGACCTGCTGCATTCAGTAACAGCTTAAAAAGATAAATGTTATATCACTGTAAGACATTATCCCTACTCATTTTTATGTTTTTACTCTTCAACTTGCACCATTCATACATGAGAGAGAAATTAACCAAATCATTAATCTGTATTAATTTCACTGCTGCAAAAGTGAAAACAAATTCCATATGCCTGTGGTCTTGCATATATCCAGATATCATACTTGGCTCTTCATCATTTACACACTAAGTTACAAGCAAGCTAAAAAAGAAGCAGCTTCAGCACCCTATACTCACATTAGCTTCAAACATCTAAAACAGCAAGATAATGCATCATGTACCAGTGTGTGAACTAAGGTCCCTTTTGGAACTTTTAGTCAGGATCTAAAACAGCAAAGTAAAAAGAGAAAATAAATCAATGCATAAAAATGTAACTGTCTTACCTGATAGCTGTCCAAGCCCCTTTGCAATTTGGTTGATCTGGCAGTCACACCACCTATAGAGACTGAAAGAATTGCTTCTACCATGAGAGGCAACGTTCCTGAATGTTGCACAGGTTTCACTGTCACCTGAACTCTGCGAGAATGACCCTGAACAGGAAGGTAATTGATAAAGAAAGACAGGGAGAGAGAAACAGAGGGAATCTAAGAATAAAATTAGGAATTAATTTAAGTATGAGCAAGGCAATAAGGAAAAAGACATACCTGCCTAAGCTGGAAAATCCCCCCCGTGTTTACATCCTTTGCCTGATGGAGTTCAACTGCAGTATATTCTCCCATCTCATTCAATTCTTGTATGGAAATCCACATTTCTATTCTTCGAGTTACTTCATTCCACCTAAAAAGACATACCCACAAAAACTAATGGTTGCCTCATCAAAATATGCTAAGTGCACCACAGGTATTGGAAAGCCTCTGGAAAGCTGATGAAAACATCCATGCGTAATTCATACCTGTCTCTCAGTGTCCTAGTTTTAGCATGAAGAGAGTCAACTTCCCAAACAGAGGTGCCATTGCCTGTACATCTGTGACCCCACACCTCAATAGCAAGAGCTCCTTCTGAAATGAACTCCAAAAACTCCTCTGTGACATTCACCACGTAGTCCTAGAAATCAGAATAAAACACATTACAACCAATGAAACAAAGTAATTGCAATCCTCAAAAAAGCTCAGATTATAAAGCTTGACAGGTCAACAGAGTTGTGAAACAAATCATTTCAGCAACTCGTGCTTCCTGCTCATGGATATTGAGTATCGTGCTTTGAAAATTTATATTCAAGCCCCACTGCAGTTCCAATAAGACTTTTCATGTTGCTGAGCTTATCAAACAACTGTACAAAATATCCTTATATAAATTATAGTTTTCTCTGTACACACTGAAGATGACAACTGAACTTATAAGAGCATTTTCCATTTTACCGCATTACAAAGAGATGATGAAGAGAAAAATTATAGCACTCCAAAGTGTTTTCAAAAGTCATTAGTTATATGATTTGATTCCATCCTTCCTCCCCCATGGAAAACAACACTTAAATCCTGAACAGCTTAAATCAAATATACCATCCTTCTGATAATATTGTTTCACGCTAAAAATAATTACCCTACAATGAGAGAAGGTCACTGTAAAATGAGCATCTTTGCTCTGAGGTGAAGGCACATCTGGATCTACAATTGGTGCTGCTACTGTTGACTCGCACTGATCCCAAAATGTGTATTGACAAAAGACAAAGTTGGAGAGATTAGGTGGCAGTCCGGTTGCTTCTTTTATTTTTACCTGGGTAGACAAGATGGATGTACTCATAAATGCCATTATTCCTTCAATTATAAGCTACTTAAAAAGAAACTACTTAGACAAAAATTATCAACCACCAAGATTTTTTGAAAGGATATCCCTGATTGCCTCTTAAAGATGACCCTACTCAGGAAATCTGTACTTTGCATATACAGAAATGCAGGTGCAAGGAGAAAAGTTACATGCATCTAACTAGCCTACCCATGCACGTACTTTCTTTGAGGAAGACAATAGCCTTGAGTGAAGAACTTTTTCACAGAAGAAATGAAATCCAGCCACTGATACTACTTTAGATAATCAAGCAAATCACAGCAAGCTGATATATGGAAAAGGTATTTCCCCTTCTGTCAGCCATGAAAGACAGCCCTTGTAACGTCAGTATTTATTATATAGATCTACATATAGCAGAAGCTAACATTGATCAGCTCAGTCACTGGCAAGCATGGCCAGTGAGACTGGCATACACTGAGCAGGAACCGAGAGAAATTGCTGTCTTTTAAGGAAATTATTTTATCTTTATAAAATTTAATGGAAGAAATTGTTTACATAGTTTTGTAGTTAAGATTGACTACACAGTTACAAAGGTCTGAAACTTAAATTCATCATGCGCTCTCACTTACCCTGCAGGAGAGCTTTTTTGCTCTGTGAATAATTTCTCCATTGTTATCCATGACTTCCAGACTCCCACTCTCACTGGAGTTCTCAGATGAGTCATCTCCTTCTACCACACGTTCTGGGACAGACCCAGTGACTCGCATTACTTCAACATGCAATCGTCCTGCAACCTAAAGCAAGAAAAATACCAAGAATCCATGCTTTGCAAAGGAAAAGATGGTAGAAATCTTACTGTAAGAGGCATACAGAGACTGCTAATGAGCACTGAATGTTAGAACCGAACAGCTCGCAATTATGACATGAGAAGCAACAATGCCAAAACAAGAAGTTGTTTGTATGCAGAACTATTAAGCTTTTTTTAAGAACAAACAAACAGGATCCACATAGGTATGAATGCACAGGTAGGAATCAGGGCACTATTTCGCGTTACCTCCCCCTGCTGGCTGATGATAGGCACAGCATATTGCAGCTTAACATCATAGAAAAGGCACTCCAAAAACACATTTGCCACACCGATTAAGTTGTGATTTTCTTGTGCTTCATAAAAAGGATCACCTCTTTTGCCAATGAGCTTCCTTATCTGTTTGAAAGAGCACAAAAGGTATTTCAAAAACTTTAAGCATGGAAATCAAAATTGGATTACCAAGCAATACGAGATCATGGCACAAAAATGAAGTCACTACCACATTTCTGCTCTTTCCTCTTACACAAACAAAGGGAAATGTAAAATGACATCTTTGAGATGAGACATACAACCCTTTCTTTACTATGGTAAGTAGTAACATAAGGATGCCTTTACTTTTTAAATGAAAGCACAAATAATCCTCAAGACGAAGAGCTGTTATGGCTGCTGGGAGCCACTATTAGGGCAAAAGGGAAGTTGCAGGATTATTCTACTTAAGCCTACAATTGCTACTATGATTACTCAAGAGGTGAGATCACATCTACAGCAATTTCTATGCAAGTACCTCATAACAGCCAATGAAGAATTTATGCAGATTCCTGGCATGACATGCACACATCAGTGGACATGTTAGCTCCTTCCTTTCTTCCCCTCTTTTGTCTCCATTTGACTTACATGCTTCCATGTAGCATATACAGCAAATGCATTATGCATGACATACGTTGTGGAAAGAATAATCCTGCCTCAGGAAAGCATGTTGATACACTGAGAGAATGCACTATCAGTTCTTAGTAAAGTAAGCAAAATCACTGTTGCCTTCAATGGGCACTGATGAAGTGCTCGGCATCCCCTGTATCATAATAATCTTAGAGATTCCCATTGTCTTGTAGAAGGCAGGGAACAAAAGCACAACAGCTGTTTAAACATATTTGGGAATGATTCTTGTTACAAATAATTCATATAGTGCTCCATATTGGCCATATGACAGTAAGATACACCTCTGATGTAAACCAACAAGTTTTTTACAAGTCCTACACTCATTTCCAAATTTGATCTGCTACTTAGATTCTCAGGAAACATCACTTGGTTCTCACAGATACTGATGCATACTGCCTAATCTTAATTGATTTTTTCACTGTTTAAGGCTAGAGGATATATAACCAAAATTACAGCTTTTTTACACAGATATTTATCATTTTAAGATCAAGTTCTACCCAACTGACGTGTTCTGCACTTGAAATGTAATTAAGCAGCATGGGCACTCTAGTCATCCTAGCTACTTTTGATACTGACCAATGTTTAATCACTATTTCAAGTGTAGCTTGCAGTTTCCATTCAGACTTAATGCCTATCTGCATGGCATTTGTATAATGGAAGGTAAACGTAAGCCTTAGCTGCTGTCATGAGTCAGTCACTCAGCTTAGCACAACCGTATCTGAGAATGTAAACAAGGGTAAGACATATCTATTTTTCACTCTGCATGGGCATTTTGTTCTCAGTTGTTTCTTTCTGCACCACAGTACTACACTTTTTCATACACCAAGTCACTGCACTTCACTCATGCAACATACTGAAAGGCATTAGAAGAAAACAATCAGTGATCCCTTTCAAAAATAAATATTTCATACCTCAGGAATTTTCTCCTTCCACTCTTGATAGAGATCTCTCATGTCAATCAATTTGTTCTCCAGTTTCTCAATAGTCCACACCTGAGTAGCCTTTCCTTTTCTTCTCACTTGAATAGCAGGCTCACTCACTATTGCACCCCTCTAAGCCAGAAGAAAAAAAAATAACTGCAGGAACAGTACATGATTGTGAGTAGTTTAACCTTTCACTCAAATTGTTCTCCTAAAAAGGAATAAAATAGACAATATACAGCTTCCTCTGCATGCCAGCCATACCATCTCTGTCCTCTAACACAGCATATCCTTACACATCTCTGAAGATTCAGACCTTCTCTTCTTCTTAAACAACTTCTATTTACACAGTACCATTAACAAATCTCAGTCAAATAACTTATGAGAGTACTATTTTAATTGCTACCATTATATTTACAGCAACACCACAACAGGAAAGCACTTCTGAAAAAGTTACAGGGATCTTAAACAAAATGGAACATTTTTGCAAACAACTAAAATGCAGCACTTTACTCAGGTTGTATAGCAGCAGAACAGAAATGTCTGGTCACAAACCACATTCATATACCTTTATCACACACTTGAAAAAACACTAAGAGCCATACTTAATATTGTGTGTCATTTTTATGCTAATCACTTTCGATATATTACAATCAGGTAGCATCTATGTTTTGTCTACACATTATCTAACAAAAATAAAATTTTATGGCCTTAAGTTGAAGATGAATGTTAAATACATCTATGTTTTTTTTTATTAGGAATAAAACTATTCCATTTTCCAGCACTTTTTTCTATTATTATGCTGTTACCTTTTTGTTGGCACTGAGGTTTTCAGCAGGGATTTGAAGTGTTACTTGATAATCCGTCAGCTTACTCATTTCTTCTGCTAAGAAGTTTGCTTCTCTCACCAGTGTATTTGCTTTCACTATCTGCTCTCGAAGTTTAGCCAGGCTCTGTCGAAACAATTCATCCCTGTGGTGCAGTAGGGAACATGAAAAATACACAGAAACCTATTTCTATTATTGGAAAGCTGCAAATAGAGGTGCTAACAAAGAATTTTCTGGAGCAAGTTTAAGGAGAAATGCCATACTGCACTACATCAGCAAACTCAAAACTGTTGGACAGTTTTATAAAGGAAGAACAATGATCACGTATTAAACAAATACATTATTGTAGAGATAAGTCTAGCACAGCAATGCCCAAATAAAAAGGGCACAATACTATGACAGATGATACAGTGATATACAATACTATGACAGATAATTTGTTAAGAGCCCTAGGGATATTCTTTCAAGAAATGAAATAATTGCAGTTGTCTTTGCCTCTAATCTGTAGTCAAGTCCCACAGAAACTACCAGTCCCAACATGTAATACTTCATCTTAATAAAAACTGTTCTTCCTCATATTGTGACATTGGAATCTGACATCACTGCAGGCCAAAGCTTTACATTACAGTCAGGGCTTTGCAATTCTACAGACTCTTGGATTATCCTGCATATACTGAAGCAACCTCAAACGCATATATACCTGGGAGTATTATTTTTAACTTGCTTTTCAGAAGTATCACAACCATCCTTTGAGTAAACGGGAAGATCCCCTTCCTGCCTTCCTTGTAACCCCAACAGAACTTATGGTGTCCCACCACCTTCTGCAAAAAGCTCACGATCAAACTTCAGATTTTCACTGACCAACACTCCCTGGTATGAATTTCCAGCTTACATTGCACTCTGACGCTTCACTGCTACTGTATCAAGGTGACAAAGTACAAACAGCATCAGCACATAGGACTGCATTTTTTAGAGCCTTCAACACGCTAAAACATGCTGCTTTGTCTCTCTCACATATATGGACTGAGCTTGCAACAGTGGTGGATTTTGCTGGAACTTAAATAGTTGCTATGTACAGTTGAAGTCCACTTTCTCCACATATACTCCTGGTGTTACATGGAAAATTTCTCTCCTGCTTCTGTTAGTCTGGCTATAAAGATTAGGTGAGCAACTCTGGCCCACTGGAGTGACACATCCCACAGACTGCTCTAATTTTGGATTCACCCAGAAAATGAAGGCCCAGTGAAGAATTACTCGTTAAGCAGTACTTCATGCTGAGAGCCTGTTACACCTGCAACCACTGCAAGACAGCTATCCCATCTGAGAAGCAGAAGACTGTTTTGATCTGCAAGTGCTTTAGGAGCCATAGCATTCACCTACAGTCAGTCCCTTCCTTCACTCAGGAACCTGCATCTGGCTAGCTTTTTGGGTTGCTCCCATACCATCCTTATCTTTGCTACATCTTTGAGAGAGATGGCTTAAGACTGTAAGGAGACTTACAAGCAGTAAAGGCAGTTCAAGCAACTATTATGGGTAGCTCTTATTTTCTTATGGCAGTTCTGTTTTTCTGCTGCTATGACGTCATTCTTCCAGAAACTTAGCTAAAAAATGCTTCAGATGGCCTTTCTTAATTTTTGCTACACAAAAAACATGACAAGCTTTGTCAGTGTGTTAGCCACAGCAAACATCCACTGAACATGAAATACTCAAACACTTGCTTAAGCCAAGCACTAGAGAAACCTTCAAATCTCACACTCACAAAGTGTCACTCGAGTCTCTTGGGTTCTCAGTGCCAGATACAGAACGCTGACTCAGAGCAAACAAAAGCCCTGCTCCAGTACACCACCAGCAGTCACCCAACAGACAAATCTGTTCAAAGTTACAATGGATTTACTTTACACCAAGGGGTTTTAGCACTGTATCAGGTATCATCTGTCCTCCCACAGTCAGCATAAAGCTAGAATAAACTCTGCATAATGTATTCTAGCTGATCTGACAGACACAACCATGTGCCCACATCTGATGCTTATCAAATTCCTTCCGCTGGCTGATCCAGTAGGGTTCAGCTCTATTAGCAACAGCATGACAGCCAAAACAGCATTAACCAAACCCTATGCAACCCAGACATTTGGTCTTTCTCGTGTTCTTTGCACTGAGTCTTCTCATGTTTGCTGCATTTCTTGCCCTCTGGCCAGTTGGCTGGTGAATAACCTCTACGAGGCTTTGCTGCCATACTTTTACAGAAGAAATACATGAAGTCCACAGCCAAAACACTTGTTCAAAGCTCAGCTTTCCCTCCCCACCCCCCCACAAATCTTCTAACAAATACTGAGAAGCATGGCCAAACACTCAGCCTTGATACCACTCCAGATTTTCATTTTTATGTCATTGTGGTTGTAGTGTTTGGTTAACTTTTAGACTATCAATTACAGTTTTATCTTTCTGACTCTCAGGGACAAGAATGTTTTTTTTTTTTCCTGCTGCTCCCTCCTTTCTGTTGCATCTCTTAGAGATATTGTTTCCTTTGCCCATAAGCCCACTTCTCAACTCTGCAACTGAAGTGGGTTATCAATGATATCTTGATTGCATTGCTGTGTTCGATATTAAACAGCAGTGATTCAGAGTGTTCTTTATTTCACGCTCCTCTGCAACACTAAAACAGCCTGCAAATCACAACTGTGACTCTGCAATACTTTACATTCAGTTCACAATACAACAATTCTGTTTTTAGCTCTTACAGAGGCAAACAATTATTTTAACTGAAGTTAAAACAGAGCAACCGTTCTCCCTAAGCTTGCCATGGAAAACATTTTAGGCATCATGGCTGAGCGTGTGAACAGACTGCTTTTTTTTTCCAAGCCAAACTTGGCAGAAATTACAAAACAAAAGCACACATAATAACTAAACTAAGATCTGTTCTGTTCTGTTTTTAACATTCTGAATTTGAAAGCTGTAACACAACATTGGCTTCCGTTATTTAGACAATTCTTGTACATTAATTTATTTATGGTGAAAGGCAAAGCAAACAAATGAAATAGGAAAGTGCGCTCAAACTCTCCACATATAGAAAAATCTGTGTGAACAACAAAGTTTTGTTTTAAAAAGAAGATAGATGCTTACAAGTAACCTATCAGTACACCTAGCCATCTTTCCTGCTGAACAAACCTAAGGACAGAATACTTGCTTGTACAATGAAAACCAGTCAGACAAAAAAATCATCTGGGTGATGATTTGGAGTTCCATGGAGCTGACATCCTCCTCTCCCCAGTGATAAGCTTCCCTCTTTGCTGAGATGCAAATACGCACTGCTTAAACTCAGCTCACAACTTCTTGATCTACCTCAAACTCCTGCAATTCACATCACGACCTTTTACCGCAGCTTTGCTCAGGTGCCATGCTATTCCTTCAAAAAGAGCTTTCTGTATTTTCACTTCATTGCAAGCCTCTTCCTTCTTAACAGCTCTAATATACTCTGACTATCCTGCAGTTCTCAACGTTAAGGCAATTCTCTTCTAAAGATGGACTTTAGAAACACATGTACAAAACATAAAGACTCGCATTATATTTTTTGCAGTTTCTGACTGCAAAATGCTGTATTTTCATTGGATACTCCCAAACACACAATAATCCCTAGTGGACACCTTAGCATGAGACGACAAATTTATTCATATGCTATCCTTACCCTTCTTCTAACTTAAATACTAAACCAAACATTTCAGAAGCACGTTAAGTAATAAAGCAATTTAAAAGTACTGTAAGGCTGACCAATATAAGCTAAATTTTTATTTCATATCACATTGTATCAAATAGGAAGATGTTGTACATGTACTAGGGATTAGAATCTAGCCTTAATTAAGGCCCTAACACTTTGATGGAGGCATATTTCATTCTACAAAAAAAATATTGTTTCTGACAGACCGTTCAAGTCCCATCTTTCACTTCCACTGTGGTTCTTACTGATTCCTTTGTTTTAACTCCAGCATTCCTCGCGCATTCTCACCTCTCTTCCGTCCACAGATTTACTTTCTGCTGTGCAGTCTGAGCAGTGTAGGAGAGTCTGTCACTGCCATGCTGGTGCTGCCTTTCAGGAGAGAGCTGCTGCCGCAGCTGCTCCAACTCACGTTCGTACATCAGCCGCTGCTCTTCAAGAGCGCTCCGCTTCTCTTCCAGGTACTGTTTCTCCAAGATCTGTACCACGTTTTGTACTGGGTCTGAGAAAAAAAATTAATAATAATAATAATAATAATAATAATAATAAAGAGAAAATGTCACTTTCTTAATTTATATGGTAACGGTAATCAAGATAGCCCAGACTCTTTGCAAACACTGGATGTTCATTGCTCCAAAAACCCAAGATAATAAGTACCAAGTTAAATAAGTAAACTCAAACAAGAAAAATGTCATGCAAAGAAGCTACAACAACAGTTAACATCCTCCTTTATTGGGTACATCAGTACTGGGGATTTATAGCAAGTTCCAGAATCTCAGTAGGAAAAAAAGAATACATGGAAAAATGAACAAAACAGTAAGAAGAAAACAAGGAAACAAAGCAAAATACAAGGGAAGATGATGTTAACCAGAGAAGGAAATTATCTCAGGAAGTAAAAGCAATTTACTTTCTCCATTTTGGCATAGAATGAGATGTTGAATTGCTGCAGATGAAAACTGAGACAAACAGCTAAAGGGTCATGCACCACAATTCACCAATGCACTTCACAACACTGAAGCAGACGATGTTCTGGAGGGGACTACAAAGTACATTTCATCTCAGAATTGGCCAGAGCAAATACCCAGTTAGATACTCTGACTTGAAACAACTGCTTATGTCAATTAACTGTGGTTAAACCTAAATTATATCCAAATTAAAGAATTACTTGCTCTAGTGTCAGTTTTAAGTCCAATGGCAAGTGTGAAAGAGAATGCAACAGAATAAGCTTCTTCTATACGCTACCAGTATATGTATGTATATAAATACATAAATATACATACATATACACACCCACCCAAACACACACACACATCTTCATGCATATACACCTGAAATCTTAAATATAGCCAAAATCTGATTTGCAGAAGGATCAGTTTAGATTAATGTATTATAGTGACAGCACATCATATAACAACTGCTCATTATGTACAGCAGAAAGGTCAGGAAGAGGAGGGGATTCCATAGTTGGAGTGGTAGAACATTAAATAGAGAAAGTAACATTGCAGTTCTAGGATGTGACAAGACAAAAAAAAAAAAACAACAAGAAAACACCTTCAGTTTTAAAATAATTCTTTGTGATCTCTCTTCCATTTTGAAGATATATTAAAAGAAAATGTTGTTGTGACTTTTAAGAAATCTGTCAAAAAAGGGGAAAAAAACCCCAACCCACATTTAATTATACTGCCCTGTTTCAGAACTCAAAGTCTACTTCTCAAATAATAATTATCAGTGTGATTTAGTTATGAATCACCTTGTGTTCACTACTGAAACCCAGACTTAAAATTTTTGTGCGAGTGTTGCTGACACTACAAGGCTACATGAAAACAAAATTTGGGTTATTACAGCATTCAGTAGAGGATACACGACAGCTTCCATACAGCTTCATCAACAGCACTATATATGCAGGTCACCAGAGCTGGCACATCTACTCTCCCCCAAAACAGATCCCTTGTATTTCTACAAACATGGCATTACTGTATTCAGTAACATTTAACAACCTACTCTTAGTACAAAGGCCACTGAGACCAAATTTGTTAAACTAAAGTACTGTTTGTGATGTCAACGTGCATGGATACCTACAGACATTTCACAGAACAAATCCTTCCCACTAAAAACACCAGAAAAGCAAACAAGATCTCTGGGATCTGTTGTTACAGTGGATTTTTTTATTCACCTCTCAGCAAACTTTTTGAAATACTGAGATTTATGTAAAGCACATCTTTATTTTTGGCAGAAAACTACTATGATCATAGATTGTTACAGTAGCCCACATCTTGTCAGTGAAAGAAACCACTGGCTTCACACAAAGGCATCTTAAAGTTCCACCATGATGGCTTTTTTAAGTAATGAAGTTAAAAAACTGTCAATATAAAATAGCAACCAAACATTAAAAGAGTCATCCAGATGTGCCTTAAAATAATCAGAATTAGCAATTGTTAGTACATTATGTTCTCAGGAGTATGTTTAGCTATTTTTGGCTTTTAAACAGACAACACACCGAAAACAACTGACTAAAATGAATTTTGACATTCCAGACTACAAACCAAGTTACTCACATTGACCTGCATCCGCCTCCTAACTCATCCTGATAATACTAGAGTCATCTTCACATGCACAGATTTCTTGTATAATCCTTAACATAGTTTTAATTATGTGTAAGAATAGCTGAGAAATCAGGTATTAGGCAGCAGGCAGAGAAGAGGAATGGAAGAAATTAAGGTCTATTGTGTTTGGAAACACAGGAAATGAATCTAAGGCTGAGTCATTAACACTTTTCCTAAATTGCTCCAAGACCAGTTCCAGTGACAGGGAGCAGTTCTTTCATAACAGTGATTTTTTTTTTCAGCTTCTGACATTCACAGAATCACAGCTACTTTAAGATACCAGGGAAAACATTTGGCAAATGATTCAACAAGCTAGACCAACATTTCTAACTTAAACCAAATTTGTTACTGCGGTGGGGGAGAGACTATGCTTGTATTGCAGTGCAAAACTTAAATTCACACCTCAGAAAAGCCTCCAATTCATTTCTTGAAAAAGATTCACATAGCAAAAGCAAGGTCTTTCAGTGAGAAACTAAAATATGGTGTGAACTATAAAACACACAGTTAGAAGATGAAAAAGTTAACATTTTCACAGTTCAGAAGAACTGCAAACAACTATAAGCTGGATTTAAACACTATAATCCACTATTTTGGATTGCCCATGCAAAGTCAAATTAGGAAAGATTCTACCTGGTGCTTGCCAAATGCACAGTAAATTCCATACAGAAGCATTGTGTCACACCTCTCCACTTATTTATGTGGCAAAAATAGTTCAGTGGCTCCAACTAGACCATTCATATGCAGATACATCTCTGCAAACTGTTAGAATATTACTGTTCTGTAAATATAACTGTTTTGTAAAAAGAGCATTTTTATGAAAAGAATGGACAAATGGTGTTTGATTACCTTGCTGTATTTTTACATAATTCACGTCAGGAATCTGTTAATCCAATAATGCTGAATAAAATATTTCAGATTTCAAGTTAGTGCAGTTTTCTAAGCAAGCTAGGAAGAGGTTCTGACATGTACTGCTTTGCTGAACTGCATCAAAATCCCCACCCTGAGCTGTACTTTTTTGCTTGCTCAAATGAGAAAGTGTGTAACCTAATCTCATTGTTTACTTAGCCACTGCACTCTATACAGGAATAAATCCTTGTCAGATCAGCATCACGAAGTTGTGGTACAGTGCTGATCTGACAGAATCCCACGAAAAAGGTGAATGTGTTGCAATAGGGCGGGAAGAATCAGGATGTTTTCTTTACAGCTCTTTTCAAAGTTTCGCATTTTCCTCATTATCCTCAGAGCTTCTCAGGAGCCAGATGTAAAATGGGACACTGCTGTAACTGCTAACATGCTACAAAATCTAATGGTTATGCTCAGCAGAAACCAGGCTATTTATTTACAGGGAGTTACTGCTCTCAACTATATAACACGAGACAAATGGAAAAAAACCCAAAGCAAAAGAAGATAAACTCTTGGCTCTAGGCTATACCAACTTCTGATGCGAAAGAAAACCAAACCCAAAGTAATTATATATCAAATTTAAAGCCAAACAAAACATAGCCTGCTCTGCCCCAGTGTCTTTTTTTCCCCAAAGAATATAAATGATGGAATTAATAAGCATCAGTTAATTCATTATTTCTTCTATTTTCCCCATATTTTTTTTCCCACTATAAGTAAATAGTATTGAAAAATCTGCTGTGCTTTCTACTCAACGAACTTGAAGCCTGTCAGAAAACTAATTTAGATACACTATCAAGAAGAATGGAACTGGTAAAATGCTATCTAGCTTGGAATTAGAAGATCAGCCAATAACACTGACAGCTGCTTGCTTTGTCAGGTTTTATTATCAATTATTACTCCCTCTTAATTAAGAGCACCTACATAGGAGGGAGCAGAAGAGACAAGAAGTGGTATAATGGGGTTATGATGCCTCTGAAACTGTGTGATGTGTGACTGCAAACACCTGCTGTGCATTAGGAAGGAAGCAGCTCTAATAGAAAAGCAAAGTCTGTGCTTTAGTAAAGACATGGAAAACAACCCAGCTAAGACTAAGATAGGCTTGGACCAAAGTCAAGAAAGCCTACTGAATTGAAATGTGAAGCTGCCTGAAGTACTGCTAACATGAAATTCAAAATAAGCGACCCTCCACTCAAAGAGTACTAACTTATTGGTGACTGCTGCAGTTTATTCAAACTGTTAGTGACAAGCAGATCAAGCATCAATTAATGCTTTCAAATTCCTCCAGCAGCATCATGCATGAGCCAATCAAGTTCAAAACCTTTGTCCCAGTTTTGGCACAGACATGGGATGCTTTGAGACCTTAAAACAGGCAACAGAGTCTTCACAAGGGATGACAACACTGAAGACCACCAGGATGGTAGATTCATCTGAAATTCGTCTCCTGGTATGAGTGAACCATAATGAGAATAACTGTTATCAAACAATAACTTCATTTCCACCTTAAATGGTTTGAACCTGCAACTCACTCACACACACACAAAACATTAAAAATCACAATCAGACCATAAAAATGTGCAAATGATTTTACAGAATTATGCATAGGAAACAATCATGCTGTAGTCAAAAGCAAAAAATAAGAAATCTGAAGAGGAGAGCAGGAGAAAAAAAAAAATCACTACTGTATTTCAACAGCTAAACCACAGCAAAGAATGGAAATATTATGAAGATACAAAGAAAGATCAGAAAAAAAATGAAATGACATCTACTATGCTGTCTTGGTCGGAGAAAAAAAGGCATTTGCTTCTGAAATTTTGTGCAGTTAGAAAAGCTGTACAAAGCACTCAGCACTTCACTAAGTTTTTCATCATTTCTTCGTCCCATATTATAAACACATGAATTCTGAATTGCCTTCTGGAAGCCAAGAGAATATCATGTCATTTTATACATATTTTAAATACACCATATATCATACCATTACTTTTATATACCATATTTTATCTAGAATAACTGTCCAGAAAAGGCATCACAATAGGTTTTGACAAACTTCAATTAAAAACAACTTCACAGTGATGAAGAAGCTAAAAATTACACTAGCTAATGTTTTTGACTATAGCCCTTGTTAAGGTTTCCATGTCTTTTTAATCTAGTTATGACGATGCTCGTAATGTTCAATACAGAAGGATGAATCAGACATATCTGAAGCACATTTCTATCTGCAATAATCTGCAAAACTCAAAGTCAGAAGGACTTAGATGATGATTTTACCTGCACAATTACATTTCAGCTGCACTATAAAGATTAGCAGACATACAGATGAAACTATGCCTGGGCAGAAGCAAATTTGTAGTTGTCTCAGCTAAACTTCTTACCTCTTAGATCATTTGCTCAGTAATTAAATTTTTATGTAAGTATATAAACACATAAATATATTTTATATATACTTATATCAAGGCTTTAACACGGGCAATAAAATCTTTTTGAAGGGTGACAATACCAAAGATCACCCAAACAGTATGTGTGCACATATATATGTACACATATTTATATGTAAATATCCACTCAGTTATAAGAAAACTTACAACTGAGTGGATATTTACACCTGATATTTCTGTTAAACACCTTTTGCTGAAAATGCCACAGGGCAACTGTATCACTTGTTTTTTTTTTTCCTAGAAATTAAGTTACATTCTGAATTTATTAAATGATCTCCACAAAAAAATATCTTTGGACTTCTTAAGTGACAGTTCTCTTACCATTGCTATTCAGTGTCTTCATAATAACTTCCATTTGAGCAAACTCATAGTTGTAGTCTGGCTCTGAAGAAGCTTCACTGGCTGCATCCAGATCATGCTCTCCTAACAAAGCTTCTTTCTCAAAGTCTTTCAGCCAATCTCTTCTTTTCCTCTTTGGTAAATTGATTCTGCGTAAAAATAAAAATTCAGTTTCTAAAAGGTTTATGAAGAACAGTGCAGAGAAAAAAAGACCGAATGTAAGAAAGCTGGTAAATAAATATAAACTATTACCTAAAAAAGTGGTTGTTTCCCCATAATATTCTATCTCCATGCCATAACTGAGTGACAGAACATACCAGCGTACCATTTACACAGGATCTGAGAAAAGAAAATACAACTTCAGAAAAATCCTAAAACTGAATGGTTGAGTATTGTTTCTCTCACGTACAGACAGTGATTTATATTACACAATGTACAAGTCACCTGGGTTCTCATTGAAGTATGAATGAGAAAGTTACTGGTCTGATTCCTCGCATCAGAAGTAAAAACCAAACCTCTTTTCCCTTTCAGCTGATTGTTGCAAATTCTCAGTAAATACACAGATAAGATTACTGTTAGCTGAATTTTCTTTTTATTGCCTATTTTTCAAACTGGGTCACTACCTGTTTCTTATGAAGACTACAAACTTGGTTGCATATAAATCCTGCTGACAGAGCTCTCCAAGGTACAGGGCAATCCATACATGTAAAACATACTGCTAACATACAAGGCACTCAACTATAAGTAAAGATCCTAGGATCTAAATTGTATACTTGTAAGTAACTAAACAGCAAAGTTAAGACAATAGTACTGCATATCTTTTGTCAGAGATTAAGTGATAAAGACATTTAGAATTCTATGCAAGAATCCACAGCAGAAACAAAAGAAGAATATGACTTCCCAACACATATTTAATAGACACAGTAGTAGTAGTGGCCTTTGGATCTCTCTTCTCACCTCTTCTCTCAGAAAATACGGAGCTTTACAAAAGGAACGTCTCAGAGGCAAGTTTTCTCCTCCCACATAAAGAACCAGCCTCCTATCCCATCATCAGGTTGAAATAGCCAGGAGCAACTCCGTCACCTTGCTACCAGCCAATATATAAATAAGCAGTGGTTCCTCATTTCTAATGATTTCTCTCTTGTCATGGTTTACTCTGAGCTAAACCACTGACAGCTCGTTATTAAGCAGTGGCATGTGGGGGTGTGTGAGGAAATCTTAGTTCTATCTCTGAAGTCACTTATACCACAGCTACTCATTGATCAAAAAAGAAAGATATTTCTGACTTAGTAAGATAAAAACACATGCAAGTCATCATCTGGTAATGAAAAGCAAACACTTTGCTGAGGAGCAAACAAGTGTTGTTGATCGTCCTTACCTTGCATTTTCTTTTGGTGTGAGTGTGACTTCTCCATCCAAAGCAATATCAATTTCACAGTGTTCAGGTTGGATTCCTATACCAAAGAGCTGTATGTCCTGAGAGGTATCTGCACCAACTCTTGTGTGATCCTGGAAAATAAGCTATTAGTAAGAGAGAAGCAAACTATTGCCGTTTACATAACTAAAGCAATATTAGTTGAAGTACTGAGGCTCCACCATCTACATGTTGTCCTTTGCTAGATATTTTTATAGAGCAGACATGGTGCCATAGTAGATTTGAGGACTGGAAAGGTGATTCATACACTTCTGTTCTGCTCTGCACTTGATCTTCCTACAGCTTCAAGCAAAGCAAAATAAAGCAGCTGATAGACAAATTCTGATTTTGAAATATTCCCAGACTACGTATGCATATAAGCAATGATACAGAGAAGAATACAAGCCATGTCATGCAGCCATGTGGAACAAAGGATAACAGGGAAAGTGAGAGACAATTGTCTGCTTTTCAGATGACAACGATATTAATAATGCAGCTAAACATACTAATCTCCACATAATTGCAAATCATATTGTAAATCTTGCTGAAAAACTGTATTTTACTGTACGCTGTACTCCATTTGCTACTCTTCAAATATAAAAGCCTTATCTCAACCACTAAAGCAGAAAAATACCCATAAAACAGATAAGATAGCCCTTTCTATCTTGTTAACAAGAGTATTTCCTACTCAGCCTGCCTTATTAGTTTTGCATTTGAAACTCTGACAGGAAGACTATTCTAAACTGAATGATATGGAAGATAGTAGAACAAGGAAAATATATTTCAGCATATTTTTAACAGGGCTTCCTTCTCACTTTCCCTCCTCACCTGGAACCTTTTTTCTTTCTTTTTTCTTAAAGCTTTTTCTCCCATTGAAGCCTATGGTTACTCCTACGATTATGGCTAAACAGGATCCCTTTACACTCACTGAATATTTAAGAAAATTCTCAACTCACTAACAAAAAGCAGCATCTTACAGCAGGCTCTTACTGCAGGAAGAAAAGCTTTTTAGTCCAAAAAGTAAAAAACCTAGTATTTATCTCAATTCTGGCAAATACTGAATACTTCTTCCACTGTTGGCAATCAGTAGGTCAATTAGGAAACTACTGAAGCTGAACTGCAAGGGAAAAAGTAAACTTGAACCGCAGGAGGAGTCCTATTCTACTTTAGTGCAACTAGTCGTATCAATCTAAATACACTCTGAATTATAAATCGAGCCAGAAATCAAAAGCAATAAATGTTTACATAGAATCTACAAGAAGAACATCTTGTATGTACTCTTACCTTCAAATAGTAAACCAAAAGTTCATTGAGTGCAGGGTCTGCATTCAGGTTCACCAGGTAACACTTGTCATCTCCAACCTTGATACCTGAAGACTCCAGGGAAATTCCCATGCTCTCTAGCTGTCTTTGTCTCTCCTGCAAGCACAAAAATAGATAAATCTTGGCTGCTGCAATATGTAGAGACAAGTATACCAATACCAAGTAAAAAAAAAGCACAGCATCTGGAGCTGAAGATTAATACACCCTTAGTATATAACAGAAAAACAGGACAGTGATCAAATATATTATTAATTTTTATACACCAATAACAAAAGGTTAGACTTAATCCTCAAACACATGCTTTAATGACTATATCAGAGATACTCAGGCATTAGAGTGTGGCTTTGAATCTTTATATTATTAAAAACTAATCTGAATTGCAGTGAAAAGGAAGATAAGTCAAATAATTTTGGAAAGAGCATGTTGCAGTTTAGGCTTACAGTTTTCCAGTATTATTATTAATGCAGCTAAAGCATCTGCTTGGTTCAAACATGTCATTTGCTCTGTCATAGCTTTATCTTTTTCTTGGCTGGTTTGGGTTTGGCCAGTTAGGTTCTGCATTTTTTTGTGTCTGTTTATTTAGCAATGACTGCACCAAAGTGTGCTTCTGAAACATTAAGACTAGAAAGGATAACCAACAGAAGTCACTCTTCAAGCTACAGATGGTAGAAATGATGGAAAGATACACTGAAATCCCAAAGTCTTATTCCAAGTATGATAATAAAAAACAAACATTAGTGAATACCTGGATTCATTTCCTTTCTCTGGTTAAGAAAACACTATAAGCCACAGCAAATGTAAAGAACAAACACTACCCAAAATTCCAATCCTTTTGTAATTCTTGGTTTTCTTAGCCATTCCAAGGGAAATTGTTCAAGATCCCATTGCATTCTTATAGAAGAACATCTCAAATGCATTTTCGTGTTCTAATTTCAAATGAAATATTAGCCTTTATTAATTACACCATGATAAAACCACATTTATTCTAATGAAATTCAGACTGAAAGAAAATGGAGAGCAGAGAAACAGAATACAGCATAGTTCACCAGAGCTCAAGAAATTCATCTGACTTGTGCTCAATGAATATCTGACCTTTTCTCCTCAAAATTTCTGAAATACCTGTGCAATTTCTTCTGTTTTCCTTAGCTTTTCTTCCCAGGTGACAGTTAATTCCTTTATTAGCTTTTCGGACTCTTCCAATTTTTCCTTCAGTTCTGGAGCCTTCATGGCCTAAAAGATGGGGATTAGTAAATTCTTAAGGTACAGTTCACATTGCAACAGTTGCTTAAAAAAAGGGAAACTGAACACAGCCAACAGAACATCAAATGCTGTAGATACAGGATAGGTTTCAACTATTTTCCTGTGTGTTTTGTGGCAGAAGAGGAAGAAACAGGTCATTAGCAAAGGAAAAGGACAGAATAATAGAATGGTCTGGGTCAGAAGGGACCTAAAGCAGGGACACCTCTCGTTAAACCAGGTTGCTCAAAGCCCCATACAACTGGCCTTGAAAGCCTCCAAGAAGGGAATATCCACAGCCTCTCCAGGCAACCTGTCCCAGTGTCTCACCACCCTCACAGTAAATAACTTCTTCCCAACATCTAGTATAAACACATACCCTTCTTCCATTTTAAAACCATTTCCCCTTGCCCTGTCGCTACATGCCCTTACAAAAAGTCCATCCCTAGCTTACTTCCAGGCCCCCTTCAGGTACTGGAAGGCCACTATAAAAGGTCCCCCTGGAGCCTCTTCTTCTCCAAGATGCAGAGCCCAGCTCTCTCAGCCTGTCCTCATAGGGGAGGTGCTCCAGCCCTCTGACCATCTTCATGGCCCTCCTATGGACCCGCTCCAACAGCTCCATGCCCCTCCTTTGCTGGGACCCAAGAACTGGATGCAGTACTACAGGTGAGGCCTCACCAGCACAGAGCAGAGGGGCAGAATCACCTCTCTCAACCTGCTTCTCTTGATGCAACCCAGGATACATTTGGCCTTCTGGGCTGCAAGTGCACTTTGCCAGCCCATGTTTAGTCCTTCATCAGATGACACTCAAATCCTTCTCTTTAAGAAATCACCCTATAACACGTCGTGATTTGAAACAACTAAAGGTCTACACAGCACTACATAGGCTAATGGAACTACACAGGCCAACAAAATCTGCAGGCTCAATCTTCACTGTCTGTATAAAAATACCCAAGTATTTTACATCTCTTAAGTCTGAGTTGTCTGAAGTTCAAATCCAAAGCCTTCCTTCCAATAATAGCTTTAAACACAAATTCCTCTTGATATTTAGCTTTCCATTCTATCTTGCTTTTGTAAGCGTTCCTAGAGTTTCATTTAAGCATTTAAGAATGACAGCATTGATTACCTCTGAAGGAAGGCATGCACTGAAGCTAACACAGGCTTCTCATTTCACAATAGGAAAGAAAAGCAAGGGGATTGAATATGTTCCACTCCAAATAAGAGCTCAATGTGCTGGCCTATAACTTCATGTGATTGTTTTCAACAGAAAGTTGAAGAGACAGAAGAAGAGAAAAAGCTTAAAAAAATTAGTAAAACTACAAGCAACCTCCTACTTTCCTGTTGGCAGCCACAGTCTGCCAACAAAACTAAGAACAGACTAGAAGAATATTTTACTATTTAAAATACAGAATTACAATAGATTTCTATTTGGAAAAAAAAAAGTGAATGGTTCCTTTTCCATAAGGCAGTTTTCCTCATTTGATCCTATAAGGGACTGCTTGTATAGGCAGTGTGACTTCTTAGACAAATGTAAAGTTTAAACACCACTCCAATTTACCGTAAGACATACTTCTGGTATTCTTTTTCCCCCACAGCTATTATGTGTTGCCAGAAAATATTAGAAACGTTTTCCTATACTACAGTGCCCCATTTCCTCAGATATCACCAAAAGTACTTCTACACTGATAATTTACGCTCTGATTAGAAATGTATTTTTAGTATATGCAGCAGTCACACAGCATTAACTCTTCAGCCAATAGAATACTGCTAGTTTTGGTTTTGCAGTTTTAAAGATTCTTGATAAATTTTTACAAATGTCAATGACAGAAATGTCCCACATATTTTGTCATCCAGGACCAGGATTTACATCTTCTCATTTTTCCGTTTGGCATAATAAGAATATATAGTCCATCAATTTAGAAAATTCTGCTAGCAGGTACATACAATTAAGTTCTCTTGTAGCTCTTATTTGTGCTGCTTCATTTACTACATGACACAAAGTTTTTCAAGAACAGTCTATTCTGACACAGATCAACACCTGTACAATGTTGTCCTCATTTAAAGTTACCATAAAGAAACAAACTCAGGAAACAAGGTTATTATTTTTTTTTTAAATAAGTGTAAGACTTCCTTTTCTGATTTTGTAGGACTTCAACATAAATGCAGTCTTCCAGCTCGTTCAACATTTGTTCAGGTTACTCAATTTATTTTGTACCATGAATAATATTACCTCAGCCTGTGAGAGCTGTTCTTTCAGTTTTTCAACTTCTTCACGTAATTCTCTGATGACCCTGGCATTTGGATCTTCATTCACCACAGCATGGTTAACTATCCTTTTGGCTCGGTCTGCATATCTTAGAGTAGATAGTGTTTCTTCGTAATTGTCTGCTGCTGGACTAATTGTGGCTATCATGGCAGTTTGGCTGTTTCCTCCCAGATTGTCCTGTAGGGTACAGCCACAGAAATTTGAGAATTAAGAACTGTTCTGAGTTTATACTGTCTCTTTACAAAGATACTTAAAATACAAATTTGGGCACTGATTTACATTCTGATGTAAACTGATCAATACAATCCATAAATATTCCCAACCACCTCCATCAGCTTAAGTCCCAATGCAATTGAAAATTCACCAAATAGGACTTTACATACAATTAACACAGTAAATGCTCATCTCAATATATTACTTGGGATATCTTGTAGCAATGACCTCCTTTGCTCACTTCTTTTAAAAAAAAAAAAAGATTACAATCTCTTAAGTACACAGTTATGCTACAACCTATTAAGCTAACAGCTTATTAACACGTTGAACAGAAAATATTGATTACCTTGAGAAGCCAAGTGAGTACAGAGTCTCTGTAAGGCACAAACTTATTCTTCCCCTTCCCTGCTGCTTGATCAGCAAGTGATGATATAACCAACCCAAGCGTTGAAAGGGATCTATGAAGCCAACAGCACAAAACCGCTTTGAACACGTACTTCAAAAGTACATTTAATAAAACAAACAGAATGGTTTAATTTGTGCTCTGCAAAATTTCACATCCAGCTTTTATAAAACAATTTGAGCTGGAAATGACCAAGGGAGATCAAAACAAGGCAATGCATCTATTAAAGCTGCATACTTGGAACAAAAAACAGTTATGTACAGTGTTTAGTCTTACCTAGTACTAACAAAGTTTCAGGAAGACCAGGTTGAAACATTTAGGTATCATAGTTTGACAATTGTAAAGCAGGCTGCGTCAGTATATGGAGAATCATAGAATGAATCACAGAATGGCCTGGGTTGAAAAGGACCACAGTGCTTGTCCAGTTCCAACCCCCTGCTATGTGCAGGGTCACCAACCAGCAGACCAGGCTGCCCAGAGCCACATCCAGCCTGGCCTTGAATGCCTGCAGGGATGGGGCATCCACAGCCTCCTTGGGCAACCTGTTCCAGTGCCTCACCACTCTCTGAGTGAAAAACCTCCTCCTAAGAACAGCTTTAGATTAGACACCTACCTTTTCTCAGAGACTAAGAATCTTTTTATCTTGGACACTGCCTCATGACACTATTAGGAGTTAGCATTGGCAGTGCAGCAATAATCCCCTGTTTCTAGGAACAACATTTTAAGAGCACTAGTTTAACGGCTGACTAAAACTGAACTATACTCATAAGGAGGAATCCACAAGACAAAGTCAATTATGGTGCAGAAGAACTAGTCTGGTGAGTTACCTAGTAACTAACCAGCAATTACATGATAGCGGAAGACTGCTCATCACAAGAGAAAAATATCCCTTTTCAAAGGAGCTGACTTACAGTCGAGGTGATGCCTCACTAGGATCTTTTATGGGGAAGAATAGATTAATATCACAATCATAAAAATGTTGCATGAATGTAAACATGAGAACAGAAAAATTCTCCAAACTGCTTGGTACACAAACATCCCATTACTCTAGAATACTGAAGAAACTAACAGCTTGCTCATTTTGGTACATGTACCACTTCCACCAACAAGTGTTTAACTATTAGCAACCTTTGCAAAGCATCTATGCATTATATATTCCAATTATTATACGACCTTGTGTAAATACTAAACGACACTGGAGCAAGTGAGTTTAAGATAATGAGCTGGTTTAAGAGCCTGAGAGCTTTAACCAGGTGCCTAAAGAGTAGTAAAAACAGAATGCTGGAGCTCAAGAACATACTGGTCCATCATACTTGTAAAGAACATCTGGATAATTGAGCATAACTACCAAGGAAACTTGTAGCCTTGTGATTAGATAGTTAAATAAAACTTTGATTGTACCATTCCACTCCATCCTTTTGAGTTCCTTCAAACTACTAGAGCCATTTTAATTGTAACATAGTCTTAATGCTTTTTGAAAATCCTAGTGGTTCTGAACAACAAAAACATTGCAGAATATTTCAAAAAAGATATGTGAGGTTAAGGTGAGACGATCTGTTAAAAAAGTCACAAAAGATGTGCATAGAACCAGGAAACAAAGTGGCATGAAGACAGTAAAGACCTGAAAGCAAAACTAAATTGAAAAGAACCTTAAGGAGCTCCTAAATTTGTCTAAAGGATAACTTTCCAACCCATGCCTGAAAAATTCACAGCAAAAAGAACAGTTAATTTAGGGTTGGGGTTTTTTTTGCCCAAACAAAAACCTTACAACTCTCAAAAGCCTGTGGGAAGAGGATGGGGGAGGGAGAATTGGTTCTTGTCTCCAATCTTTCAGTCTTTCACCTGCACAGACTGGGAAGACAGCATGTTAAACATGCGAGAACAAACAGCAGGATGCTATATGCTGCTCCCTAGCAGTCTCCTACAGCATAAGTGAAAAAGCACTAGCAGCACACTCCCAGTGGAGTCCACCTTTGAGGATTATGAAGTTAAAAGAAAACAACAAAACCCACACACTTCAATTTACGTTCCTCCAATTCCTCTTACTGATTCTAAATGAGAAAAAATGTGAAAATCAAAGCCAAAAAGTGAGGGAGGGAGAAGAATATTTTTCTTACCTTAAAGAAATCGAAATGGGGATAGGAAAAACAGGGATTCAGGAAGGCCCACCATTGATATTATTTCACAACGGGGCTGCAATTTTAAGTCTTAGTTATAGGTACTATGTTGTAGTAATTAGCAAGTTATAACTTTGTTTATTAACACCAGATTAAAGGAAGTAATATTTCTGCTCCAGAAATATAATGAAATACCATTTTTTTATTAAGACTATTAACGTCTGTATTAACAACCAAACTGGTGTACTTTAAGTATTCTACTTAAGATTTCATAATACAAAGCTGTTAAAAGATTCTAAGGGAAGTACTAAAAGAAATGGCAATGCAATATAATTACAGGACTCAGTAGTTGCTTTGCTTTATGCTGGATGATGCATTAGAGATCTGTCATTACTTTGATCCTATCTCAAACCACCTACATAATGAATCAACCAAAAGGCCCGAGCCAACAGTGCACAACAGACTGAGGCAGTTCAGAAGAAACAGAGCAAGCTTACATGGTGCAAGACCATGGGAAAGTGCTGTTTCTGCATGCTTTCTGTTCTCCTTGACCCTCTTCATCAAGTGTGAACAGGCTGTCTTTGCTACCGTGCATCTGGAAGCTTGCACACTCCCAGCAAGGATCTGAGTCAGCAGCATCCAAGGGCAGGTGGTTCTTTTCTGCAGGGAAGAACTCTGTCCCTAAATGACATCCATTTAAGCTACTTCTGTACACTTTCCTTCCAATTTTTTTTTAAGCAGACGAAGCCCTTCTTTCTAATAATAAAAACTGTGAATATGAATGCCCTCCTCTTAAAAGAGCTTGAAGCCAGTCTTCTCCCAAAACATTCCCTCCCACCCCATCTTTACCCTTTAAAAAACTTATTTTTGCATTCTCAACTTAAAAATGACAATAGCTACGATTTTTCTAATCACAGTTAAAATTACAGGCTGTTCATAGAACATTCTTCCTAGCCACTGACAGCTTGCTTACTCCATTTCCTCCTGCTGCTGTACTCTAGAAATTCTTCTACTACACCACAGATTATTAAACATCTGCATTTCTACACTCAGTATAGGAACCAGAGCACCTAGGCATTAACAAGCACACACAGCTTTCTTACGAGTTTGGAAAGTCTCATAAGAACCAGGAAAATAAAGACAGCAGATGCCCAGAAACACCGTCATGACCCAAGGCAACTTCACACCAGTGCTGAGAAAAAGTGGAAGTTCCTTATTACAGCTTTACAAAACCATTAACAAGATCACGCAACTCTCAGCTGTTTCAGTAAGCAACAGAGCAATTCAGCACATCTACTCTGTACTGGGTCATGCTGACCCAATATGTGGAAGAGTTTACAGTACAGGAAGCTGTGAGACTGAGGCAGCAGTGACATTGGCCCTAAACTGGTTTCATGCAGAAACAGCAGAGAAATCTGCAGAGACTATCAAACTGTGGAGTTTTGGAAGCACAGCAGAAGTACAATCTTCTTGTCTTGTAAATACAGAAACAGTTATGTTATTTGCCTGTTCTTCAAGGCATCAAAACATAGAACAAGCAAGAAATTTAACTGCCAGGTAGTTACGGTAGGTCTGTTTTTATCTGAATAAACAGTTGATGCTACCAATGCAAATTACTGCTATTTTATGAAAGAATAAAAGTTAAAAAAAAAAAGGAAGGTGGCATAGCAAGGTACGTGGTTTAAGTAGTCTATATTACTACAGAAAGATTACTGCCTGTCCCTAATAAGCATGGTATGTTGTACACATTACAGAAAAGAAGATTGCGTACAATGTTCTGCAACAAACTACTCTGATAAAAATGTGCATACCAATTCTGAAGCTTCCAGTGAAGACAGAATTCATTAAACTCAGCAAAAGTCCAATAGACACTAAAGCACAAAACTAAGAATTGTTTGCCTATCAGTTCCAAATGATATCTCAAACAGAGAATGCTTAGAAAACGGTCTGAGATAACTGAGGTTTATCATATAGGAACTGATGCAAGAAGATAGAGCTGACAGCTTTTCTCTTTGAAATATCTCTTACAGAGAAATCTGGTGCTTGTATCTGAAGTCCTGTATCATTAAAAAGAAATGGCAAAAACAACCTTCCCTGTTTACACTAAGCAAACATTTTGCTAGAAAATGAAATCTTTCTATACCTCCAGCAACACTTTCAATCTCTTAATAGCTGTTGGGGGAGTCAGCATTTGAATTTTTCCCCAAGAATTAAAAAGAAACATTTAATTTCACCCCTATTTATGCAAAAGGTAAATACAGTTTCTAGCAAAATCAAACCAAATTTAACTAGTAACCTGCAGGGTAAAGGTTCAGTACCTGCCATTAGAGAAACAGAGTCATATAATTTTCTTTCATGAGTACTATGCCAGTGCACCTACCAATCTGAAGCATTAAAACTCATAATACATCAGATTATGCTGTGAAGAGCAAGCGTGTTCAAACTATTAAAGCAGGTAACTTAAAATCATTTTAAGCATGAATGCAGTTCAAACACGTTTTTTGCTCTCACTGTTAACTTCAGAATAACATAACCTTTTGCAACATTTTAAAGGTAAGTAAAGAATCTGTAGCTTTTAATATTAAGAGTCTGATTTTTTTTTTCCCAGGAAAATTAATATGTGTAAGACAATGGTAATATTGTGCTAAAGTCTTGCTTTTGGGCAACAACACAGTAATTACAGTTAAAAAAAGTGCCTGGAAACTTGTCATTGCTTGAGTACAGATGCCCAAGGCAACGTTAAACTTACATAGCTTCATTCTGATCTGGTTTTCTTGAACTGTGAATTATACTCTTACACAGTTTAATACCTGTTGGAACAAAGCCATTCAACTCTGCAACTCTGCATTCCTTGAGCATACGATGAGACAAACACATGAGCCTGGGGACAGGGTGGATAAATGAATCACAAAAGGTACATCCATAATTAAAGAGTGCTACCGTCACTTTTTCCAGATAATATTCATACAGCTATCATCTGAGTCAACTATGAATCAAAGTCTCTGTACTGATGTTAAAAAAAACCAAACAGATGGTATTCAGTACAGAGCAACTGAAAGGGATGTGTCTGACTAGATGCAGCATTTGAACCAACTTGTAACAAGCACACCAAAACAGGAGACTGAGGAAGCAATGGTTGTTCTTAAAACACTATACTTTACAACCTATGTCAATGTCTTACTTGTTTATGTTACTGCCTTCCTTCAGACGTTCTCCTGCAGCTCCTGTTTTGGACACTCTCTCACTACCAGCTAAGTCCACCAGGCTGACCTTGCTGACCTTCTCTCCAGAATTCTGCGCAGATCAAATAAGGGAGAAAAACAAGATTCATGAGCATAAAATGCTAACATACCTTACACCAGCACCATTAAAGACTGCTTTCTATAACAATAATGCAAGTTGAAGCATAAAATCAAGATAAGACAGAACAAATTCTGACAGTCTTTACAGTCTGTTAAGAGCCAGTCATACACTTTATACTAAAGGGCAGAACCACTAATGAAGGCAAAGCAGCCATGTGTTAACATCAAAAACTTCCCTGCCACAGCAGGCCATTAAAATATATTAATGTCAGCAACTGTTAACACCTAAGACAGATTTAACAGAGGCAATATAATCTTAAAGTCATCTAATTTTTTTTTGTTTTCTCTGGCATGCTTCTGGTGTTCTCTCAACCTTAGGTTCTTGCCAATATTACTTTGATTACTCCAAAGGATTAAAAGTAGCAGCATAGCTAAGAAAATTGTGCATGCATACCAAACAAAAAAAAATATGGTGAGTTATGCTAAAGTCTTGACTGAGAAGATGGAACAAATCAATAGAGATACTATAATATCACTTAGCATAGCAACTCTGAAATACAAGAGCACTTCAGCAAGTTGAATGGTCTTGAGAACTGAGGCAGCTTCAGTTTTAAAATAGTAAGCCATTCGCCTCTTCAGAGTTTTAGGTCATGTTAAGTGATATTACTGATGCATCTACAAATGCATGCAAAAAGCACAAGCTGCTTGTTTTAACTGACTGTTATTCAAAACAAACAGATCATTCAGCAGTTGAACAGAATAAAGAAGAAGAATTTTCCACAACTTCATAAATTAAACCAACAGAAATACATACACCAGACTGCAGGTCATAAAGTGTCTGAGTCACTATAATGTTGAATACAGCATGAGAGCGGCTGCTTTCTTCATTCATGTTGGTTGCAGCAACTGTTCGTGATTTGTTTCCCTCTGACATCAATGACTCAATATCCTAGAGCATAAAGAATAAAAAGTGGTGTCAGGATGAAAGCAAGTTTTGTGCTTGCTGAACAAAATTCCTGACTAAATGGAGGAGTGCGTATTTCTGAGGAGAGAGAAGAAGGGAATGTAGAAGAGAAAATTCTCTTTACATTTTGATATCAGAAAATCACAGAATGGTTTGGGTTGGAAAGGATCCTCAAGACCATCCAATTTGAACCCACTTGCTGTGGCTGCGTTGCCACCCATTAGGTCAGGCTGCTCAAGGCCCCAAACAACCTCGCTTTGAGGGCCTTCAAGAACGCATTGGTAGAGAAGAGATCTAATTTTGCAGAATAATGTTAAATCATAACTTTGCTTTAAGCAGGGCACCAAAAGCCCAGCAACAATATTCAGTACACATACTCCTTATCTGTTGCTGAAATACGTTGGCAAAACCCACATTACAAATCATATTGTGCAATGCCAGTAATCAGGCAAACAGATCTACTTACAGAAGTAAACAATGCTTTTTTTTTCTGAACTGCATTAAAGCCATACTCTCTGAATTGGCTCAAAGTGCTGCCCCACTTGAAGCCTGTACCCTTCTATTCAAGTAAAAATAAAGATGATTCTCATATATCTGCTTGCTGAGTATCCAAGATACTTTCATAAGTCATCAGGCAAAAATTAGGTATGAACAAAATTTTCTAAAATTCAAGCAAATAACGTCAAAGTATGCAATTTACCATAAAAGCTGCAAAATTGGTTTTTACATTAGATATGACAGGTGCTTCAGACAAATAAATATTCCCATTAGACGAGAAATGTTTTTCACATAACACTGTAAAAAAATGATTTTTTAATAAACCAACTCGAAACAAAGAAAAAAGCGTAACAAAAGAAAACCCAAATAGATTTCCTAAAGCAGCTTCCTTGTAAAAAGGGCTATGCAATTCACAGAACTGCATCACTGCAACTCCTCTGTATCCAACGAAGTTCATTGGATTCTACAATACTGATATATTTGAATGCATTTTAGTAACTCAGCTGGGCTCAGATGTTGTCATTACTTAAATTAACAGCTATATAAACCATGTTGTGCATTCTCATGCAATATACTTCTATAAAGTAAGTGTATTCAACAACAACAAAAGCAACAGAATGCACACTGAAAGACCTAATTTTCTTAGTGTGGAAGCCTCAGATTTCAAGAAAACATGGCAAGAAAATGTGACGTGCTTGGTATTTATTACATAAATGAGAACCTGCAAAATGAAGTGATATTACTGCTATATTTTTAACCAACATAAAAACGAAATGAAAGCTTTTACATGAAATAAATATCCCTGGAAGCACTAGAGGAGGTACCTGTGATTGTCAGAGGCTGCAAACACCTAGGAAAACAAAACTTCTGGGTGGGTATTAGTTTACCTACAGTATGATTTCCTATCACTTAGGTACACAGATGCTGTTTCCAAATCTTTAATAGGTTTAGATTTACCTCAAAGTTGGTAACAGCCAGCTGAGACAAGCCATCTACATATGGTCCCAACACTTTGTGCTCTCGAACCTTAAGAGATTGCCGACTCCTACGGAATAAATAGCCTTTATGCACAAACCACTACTGTGAACTTCATTTCAACTAAAAGACATAGATTAACATCTACAATACACAAGATTTTTTATCATTTCACAGTATGTAGCTTTTCTGTTTTTCAAGCAATAATGGGAATAAAAATATCAATCTGACAGGTTTCAATCAGAACACACAAATTACTTTCAGAGCATCATTCTACCACAGTATTTGTGGCCGTAGCAAAACCTGAAATACTTCATCTGGAAGAAAGAATAGTGACAGAAGGAAACAAAAAATCTCTCTCATTTGCTGAAGATTCATTTCTCCATGCATTTTCCAAGTTTTACTAAAATATATTAATGAAGTGTAAAATACACCTTTTAATTAAGTTGCATGTTTCTTCATCTAGTGCAGTAATGCTCAAGAATCAAGAAGACACACATATCAGACATCTTGTCTGATCTCTTGTCTAGACATCTCCATGCTAGAGAACCTACTCAGTATTTCTGAGTCAGCACTCTAATTCCTTGTGTTTTGTTCAGAGTATATTTGGAGGTGTTATTCCTTCCCATTCAAGAAGTCCAAATTCTAAACCAGGAAAATCAAATTGTAAATAAAGTTCACACTGTTTGTAACTGATGAAAATTTATACTTGAGCAAAGTCTGGGTCATATGACAAATATACCCCAGCTTTTTCTTCTACATAGCTTGTGATTTCTGGTATTGCAGTGCTTCACTTTGCAACATTATACTATTATATTGTATATTTAGATTGATCCACACCAGGTAGTACTTCATACACAAACTTTACACTGATATTCTCTCTCATGTTTGGTACCTGATCCTTGGTAAAAAAGATACATAAACATACATTATGAAAAATCTCAAGGACTTCCAGAACTTATTTCTACTTAATAGTTTCAAATAAAAGCAATTAAGGTGGAGAGGAAGGGTAAAGCTACTCACCCTTTTGGGTCAAGTAGATCTCTGACTTTCTCATTGTAGATTTCCATATAGGACACTTCAACTTTAAAAGTATGAGATTCATTTTCTTCCACAGAGATTCTCTGAAATAAAGCACAACAGAGCCGTGGGATCAGACCCAGCTGCTCTGCATTACCCATCATTGAAAAGGATTTTCCTGAACCTAAGGGAAGAAAGGAGAAGAAAATGCTTTAGAATGTGGTTTCTGAGTTACTCATTTGTCATGAAACATGTTTTAATTTCTCCAGATGCATGTATCAGAGCAACAGGGCGTTATTCTAGACAGAAGGCTCGCTCTTTGCATTACAACAAACAGAAACAAAACGAGAAATCTTAACAGTCTCTTTTAGTAGAGCCATTACTTGGCCTCCCTTTTAACACACACACACAAAAGACTGAATGAGCCTTGGTTGCTAACCTCTCCTTTCACACTTTCAAAGCAGCCTCAAGAGGTAGCAGTGAGGAGCATATTTACAGACCTGTGTTAAGAACTTTATACTGCCAATGGCTGTGCTGAAGTTACTGTGTGTTTAAATGGGAAACCAACCTCCAAGAAGTGACGCAAATACAAATGATATGAAGTTTAACATTAAACTTTGTTTAATGTTATGATTTTGTTATATTGTTTATGATTTTGAATATTATCAAGCTTAGCATTTATGTTGTGCTCTTCCTACTTCACACACATGCACAAGCAGCATCCTCTCCTTTCAGCACAAGCAGCACTTACCTGTCTGTCCATAGGCAAAAATACAAGCATTATATCCCTGAAAGGCCTTCTCAAGAATTCCTTCTCCAAGGCACTTGAACACCACTTCCTGACCTACAAAATAATTGTAAGTTTCTTTTAAGTGAACAGTGAACTTTAACAATAACAAGAAAAATTTTTGGAGATTATTTTTACTAATGGATGCACAACGGAACAAATGATTTCGTGTATAACTGAGTGAATGAAACTCAGTGCAACAGCTACCTCTGTGTGTTTAAACATAGCGCTCGTTTTCCTGTGAAAGAAGCGTGGATTCAAATGAATCATGTAAATTGAATGCTTAGAGAATAAAGATAATCTAAATTCCGTATTGCAGACTTTGCAGTCTGTATGCATTCTAATGCATAATAAACTAATTCATAATAATAAACTTTACCCAAGACTTCTGCAACAGAATTGCAATGAACACATTAGTGAACTAGAATATTAGGCATGTAACAAACATAATGGTAGAAATAAGAGAAATGTTCTCTTGGGAGCTAGCCTCAGATTTCAGTATAACCCATTCTTATCTACTCTATGTTAAGGCAATGCTGGAAGTAAGACAGAAGCATTCCGAAGACATCGAAGCAGGAAATGTACATTATGAGTGTGAGAGACTTAAACAGAACTGTCTGTGGATATACAGGAGTCAACAGTCTCTTAAAGTTCAAGAGCACAAATATATATATGTATATATATATATATATATATATATATATATAGTTGAAACATCAGCTACAGCGTTTCATATTTTAAAAAGTCATCTTCCTAAGCCAAGCTGATTTCAGATGTGCTCCAATCTTTTAGCTGCAGGAGATAAAACAGAAAGGGCATTTCTTTTGTTTGTGGTAGTACTGTACACATTTTTGTTTTGTTTTAAAAAGCAACGCTCAGAATTTGTACACCACAAACACTGTCATAGGTAGGTTGTCTGTCGAGTTCTGAACCACCTGCATACACATTGAAAAGAGCTGAGATAAGGAAAGCATTTACATATCCTCTGGTGCTTGATTTTAAACTTACACTGCCTGATGACATTCTGAACAGTGGCGAAGTCACCTATCCCAGCTCATTTAATTTTAGCAGTTGTCATTTTTCCAGTTGGAAGCAATTGTACAATGTGTGCAATAGGACTTCTTTAGCTCTCAAAATAGAACATCAGAAAACACCTAGCTGCATATATGTTGCCTGAGAATATTAACTTTCTGTGATACTTGAGTAAATGGTAGATCACTGAACACCTGTAGTACAACCCACGGAATGCCTGTTTGTAGAATGGCTCTCTTGTATGCAAGTAAGACTAAAAATCTCTATTACTTCTATTTAACTTTAACCTAGTTTCCCTTTTGCTATAAAGGAAAAACTAAGGCAGTGACGTCAGGTCCCTGTTTATATTTTTCAATTGTATTTCTGAGATACCAAAAGATTATTAGTACTGCTTCTTGGATTAACACAGTTCAGACTAACTTCCAAAACACTGAATACAGGAATTAAAAACAGAGAAAAGCCTGCTGTACTACATAACAATTCCATTTTCTTCCTTGGACATTCATTCACTTCTCATTCAACATGTGTATCATGAAATGATTGCATGATCATATGTTGAGAGAGTGCTGTTCAAAACCAATGTTCCTGGAAACAGCTGTAGAGAATGCTAACGAACTGCTGAAGAATGCGTGAAGGAAACAAATCAGTGCAAGTGTTTAATAAGAGTGTACAACACACAAAGATTTGCTTTCCAACTCTTGAAGGCATATTTTGAGGTCGTCAAATCAAAGATGCAAGGAGCCACTTACTATGTTGCTGATGGAGAGCGTAAAAATCAAGTAAAGATTGAAGCTGAGTAAAATCATTAAGAGAAAAAAATTACTGTGAGTGAAGAACAAAATCATTTGTCAGAAGAGGAAAAATTCTTTATTGTCCACTTCTGACTAGCAATAAATTACAACATCTGTGCTTCCTAAGAAAAAAACAGATACCAAAATACTACAAAACTAACCATAGTTGTGATAATAATGAGATGGCCTACAGAATTTCTTACTGCCAGAGGAAGAAGGCAGTTCAAATTGCACAGACAAGATGGGATATTTTTTTTTTCCAGGAAAGTTTTTATGGGCTTAACTACCCAGACATTGACAAATAGGCCATTCAAGAATGATTTTAGAGGAAACAGTTGAACCACCATGTTATAAAAATAAAAAAAAATGTTTCTAAATGAAAAAAACATAGGAAAGAACAGAAGAATTTAAATTTTAGTTACAGGTATTTTATTATTTTTCTCATGCAGTGGTGGTGCTCCTAAGGGCAGGAGCATGTCACCCATAAGATTATATGACCCAGGAGATAATTTCATCATGCAACATAAATTCTTCCTCCATGCATTTTATTAGTAGGCTCTGCAAATTGATTACAATTTATGTTATACAGAATTATGTCTAAGTGCACCTAAAGTAAGAAAATAAATAAAACAAAAAGCAGTTTTGTTGTGGTTTTGCTAAACAATCTTACGTGTTCTGCAATTAAGATTTCTGCTTATTTACAGGACTTTTCTTCCACAGATGCCAAGCGCTTAGGGAAGAAAGAAGGGGTTTTAACTCAATTCTGATTCAATTTTGCAGCATAGAAAAACCTCTTTTCATTCCACCACTATTTAGTTTCCAGAAAAACTTCCCTTAAACCTACTTGCCAAATCTTTTAGGCCCAATCTTCCAGCTGCATAAGACCATATAGCTTCTTAAGGTGGCAACTGAGGCCTGACATTGTAAGCCCTTGTTCCCTCTCCCATCTTTTGAGGAAAAAACGTGGGCAAATAAGAGATGTTTGACATACACATGCCACCAGGCAGAGGAAAGCACACCCAAGGCTTTCTGGGGTGAGTACTGAGCTGCCAGCCTTCACAGGGCAGATTCTCCTGTCTCCTCCTCCCATAGGGGGAAGGAGAGCACAGTTTGGTGAGCTCTGCATGCATACTACTATCTAAATAATCTCATTTGAAGACCAAATGCTTCCTCTACTTTAAGGAGCAAAACAGCTAAGGTGGAAGCACATTGCAAGAAAAAAGTTTCAGACAACATTGCACTATGCTGTAAATGCTCACAACACATTTGGCAGAACCCCCAGTAACGTCATCCTTCTAGGGATGCATTGCTGATCAAAACCTGATAAATACCAGTGGATGCCAACTCTATCCTGAAGATGTACCACAAAAACAACATCAAGACAACATGGAAACCTTCTTTCCTTTCATCAGACAGCTCTAACTGCCTTCACAGCTCCAAGACATTATCTGTAGCTTCTGGCAAGTGCAACTAACAAGCCTGATGTCAAAGTAGAAGAACATCCAAGAAAAATCAAAGGAGAAATTCTCAGTCTCTAGGATGCCACTTCCCTCAGGAGGCCAACCCAAGAACCTTCTCATCAGACACAGTGCTGCCACCCACTGACAGCATCCCACAGACACATAAAGGGAGACTACCAGCATTCCTTCCTTAGCACTAGCCATATTAAAGCTTGGGAAGATTTCAACAGTATCAGAGACTTATCTGAAAGCTACAGGAACTTCTCAGAACTACATTTTAATACACTGAAATCTTGGAACTTTCCAGTGCTGGCTGTGTGCTATTATCACACACCATAGGCATTTAAGGATGTACCACAGAAGCTAAGAAATTTTTTCATGTGCTCTCCACCTACTGAAATGAATGGTATTTCAGAGGCAAAATTATAAAACAAAGTAAAAACAGCAAGGTATGTCAGTTGCATATTACTAATGGCTATTAAATTACTAATAATTTTAAAAGAAAACCTTGACATTACCTGCATATGAAGATCTCTTAGCTAGAACTTTGGAGTGAACACAAACTATTAGAAAAATTAAATAAGGAAAATATGCAAGATAAAAAGATCCTGAAAACAAAGAAAAATCAATACTCTGAAATGTGAGACTACAACAATACACCATTTTCAGAATGAGATACTTAAGTACTTTCTCTCTTGTATCTCTATGTTACACCCTATTCCTTCAGATCAAACCCATTCCTAGGGAAAACTACACACTGCTGAAAAACCCCAGGACATGTTTGTGCAATCTGCAGAATGAAGCCAATGACTTTTGCAAATTAAGTTTGTATATTCCCAGATCACTAGACTCCTGACTAGTAACCAGATGTGAAGAGAAGAAAGAAAAGGGAGGGTGAGCAAAAGAGAGACTACTCTTTCTAATTAAATTACTTTTAAAGTAAACACCATTAATATGAGAGGACCTTCCACAAGGTCCTCTCATTTACTGACAAACTTACAAGTCAAGAGGTACCAAAACAAAGATTAGTTCTGGTGCTTGGTTTTTAGATGTCCAGTATTTCCAGTAATCAGCAACTTGTCAATATGAAATACAGATAACAGTTTTGAGCCTCTCCACATGTTGGCATGGATTCGCTCAGCAAGATTCTGACTGCAGAGATAGAACATCTCACTGCTGCTCTCTTATACAAAGAAAATAACCAAAACCAAATAACTTCTAATGAACAACACTGAAAATTCAAGCTGGTCATGTCTTTCTATGGCTTAACCTCTAACTCTGAACATTTTAATACATAATTGCAGTTAGTTCCAAGATCTAGCAGTTAAAATAAAACTTGATCTCAGTAATTAGAATTATTAAAAACTGTGTTGGATAATAGTTTTAGAATAAATTCTTTAAATTTGTGGGGGGGGGGAAGTGTATGGTTCATCTTAATAAAAAAACAGGTATAGCTGGTGTAGTCTAACTTCTGTAGCTCAACATGACAGTATTGACAAAGCCCTGAGGTCTTTGTGTTGAAAGCCCTGTTATACTAAAAGGTCTGGAGTGCTTACAATTAAGCATCACAATGTCTGTAGTTTAACTGCTTAAATTAAAGTCATATTGAGAAACTAAGTTTTCCAGAAATGTACTGGTCAGCCATCAATTGCACCACCTAAAATCAAGCCCTACATGCTGAGTAGACTCCTTTAAAAAAAAAAAAAAAAGAAATCAATGGAACAGTTGGAAAGGGTTGGGTTTCAAATATATTTTTACACTAGGTAAGCCAGAAGTACAAATGGACAGACACTTCTGTCTGCCCAAAATCCACAACACAAGACCACTCATGAGGGTGGGAGACTACTATTGTTCAAGACAGTTGGGTGGTTTGTTTCCCTTTAAAACAGGTGCTGGCAGAGCAGGAATCAGCATATCTTCTTCACACAAAATTCAAGCTTAGCCTAAAGTCAGGTATTTAGCTTCACAGCACAATGTAGCAGAAACAGATCCGAGATTTCAGGTCAAGTGTGATGCAGCTTAGGAGTTTAAGGAATGTCCACAGACAAGAAGATACGAAGTGAAGAGTGGGGTTCTTAGAATGGACCTGCCTAGGTGCTACTGAAGTTATTCACACCATGCCTTGAATCTTTCCCAAGATGAAGGGTTTCTTTCCTTCCTTTCAAAAATCTACCTCATTGCAGACTTCAGTAGACTCTTACTGCTGTCCAGGCTTGCAAAAATAATTCTTTAATATCAGCAATTCCCTGCTGTGGTCCAGTATTCAATCACGAAACTACAGTTTCTACAGCTCTAAAAGTCAGGTTGCCAGGTGGCTTGTGTGGAGCCCTGAGCTTGTTAGCTCTGTGACAGACTCTAGTATAATACCTGGACATAGGCAGCATGTGTATTTGTGAACTGCCTAGAACAACGCCATGTAGTTACATAGGAACAGCCAGAGGGATCACTGAAAACCCCAGTCAAAGCCAGCAATTGCATTTCTTTAGGCCAAACTCTGAAAGAGACTTAAGGCAGCTTCATACTCCGACTATATAAAAGCCTACATCTTACCACTTCAGCATTTGGTTTGCTGGCTCTAGAACAAGAAGCACTAATGTAGAATAGGACAGTATCCATTTGTGCAAGAATAAGTGAGCAAAGTCAGCAAATCAGTAACTGAAACAGATTTATATATATATATATATTTAATATTCTATCAAATTCGTTATCTTCTAGAATGTGAGGGCTGGAAGACACAAGATCACACAAATACAGAAAAATAACTGTTTTAGATCTTTTCACATGCAGTCTAAAGCTCATGGTCTTACTATATTCCTGAGATTAAACAAAAGAGGAAAATTGTTTCCTTTATCAGACAAATTATCTGCAAGAGCAAAAACACATCTTACAACTTTGCAGATGGTGAGAAAGTACAAAAGATGTAGCAGCATTCTGGAGTCCAGACTGAGAAAGGGTTAATCTATCATTTACACAGTGCAGCTTCAGTTCTCAGTCAGAAAGAATTTGATCACAACTTCTCAAGGAGGTCATAGAAATCTAGTTTTCATTCAAATTAAGAATAAGTTAGCCTGGAATCTCAATGAATTCACCTGGAGATAGATTAAACTAAGATAGGAACAGGTTTAACTGGTTAAAGGTGTTCCTCTGGTCTCCGTCTTCTCTAAAAGTGGGTTAGCCTCGTGATGCACCCGATATGAGCAGCTCTCAACTGCACACTTGAGGCACATCAAGGCAACATCTGGCTTTGCATCATAACCCAGTTCCTTTAAGAGGAAGTCTAGCTGTGCAGACACAAAAGGAGCTGTTGTGTGCTCCAAGGGATCGACCAGTTTGAACTGTGAGTCCAGTGCACTGTATCTGCTCAGTGCAAACACAGACACTGAAAGTCAAAACAAAATTATTTTCCTGAGGAAATCGACATTGCTCACACATGCAAGGAATACAGCAAATCAATGCAATCCCTGTGATTCAGGATTTGGTTCAAGTCAGAAATGCATTCTAACAAACACTCAAACTTCAAGATTTCCTTCAGACCATAACATTTCTTAATGTGAGTACCTTAACCGAAAGCTGTTGTTTTTTTTTTCCCCCCTCTTTTCCATAGACCACAGCCTTGAAATCCTGGCATACAGAGCTGTAACAATCAAGGTAAATTTTCTTTAAAAATATTAATGTTAATGCACTAATCCAGTTATGAGAAAGTTAAGCCCTGGGATGATAATCTAATTTAGAATGCCCAGCTTATGGAGGAAGGCATCACAAAGCTGATCACTCAAGAACATCAGGAACCTGAACAATTAAAATATGAATGACTGGAAAAATGCAAAACAATCACACCATTTGAGAAAAACAGGCTCAGGAATGAAAAGAACAGAAAACACACTTTCATCACTAGCTCCAGCAAGAATTGATTTCTGAACCCTAGGTGACAAAAAGAATCTTCAGAAGAGGCTCTCTTTCGGGGGAGAGAAAGCACTATAGCTTGCAAGTAAAGAAAAAAAAGCTTTCCTGTCCCAAGCAATATACTGGGCATCTTAAAGCTCATGTTCTTTCTTAAGCAGGAACCTAGAACTCTAAACCCCCGTTAAAAAAAAGAAGTCTGCTTTTGTGAAGTCCCTTGAGCATTACAGTACAGAACATTAAAAAGAATACATCCACAATAGTCTAAGCTTTCATGCGTTTTCAAATTATTTACACTGCTGAATGCACATAAAATGGCTTACCTGCATATTTTGTAGTGTTTGATTCATCCATGGACCAGAAGCAGTGATCAAAGGCAAACACCTGTAAAAAGCACATAAAAGGCAAATGAGGAACTCAAGCTACAGAGCACCTCTTAAAGTTATATCAATCCACAACTGCTTAACTGCAGACAGGTTCTACTCTTTATACTGGTCCTAAATCAGAATTGTAAAAGGCTTCAGCAATGGGAATACTTTTTGGAAATCTTAAGCACTGCAGAGCTGCGATACTTTTTCTGTCTGTAATACCCACGCTACAAAACACTGCTTAAAAAAAAGATGCATTATAGTTGAACCAACATATTAAACTGTTTCAAAAATTGGATACTCGAGTCAGTTAAAAAGAAGTTTCCACTGCTCACAAAGCTTTGGAAAAGAGTGAAGAGCAATAGACAGGTGTAGTAAAGTCCCTGTGTAAATGTAAATTACATTCATTCTGATTCAAATTTTCATTGTTGAAACTGAAACTGCAAATGCCAGCTCTGTGTAGGTCTTACAGGTAGTCAGAGTATTTCTCAAAAAAAAAAAAAAAAGAAAAAAGAAAAAGAACTCCATCATTGTCTTCCAGAATAAAGTCAAACTTTGTAACTAAGGGGACAAAAAACCCACCACCACCACCAAAAACCCGAGCAAATATAAAAACAGGAAAACACATCCAGGCCATGGTAAAGACATCATTACTTGATCTGAATGCAGAGGACACAAAGCATGAAGAAGAAAAGAACAAAATACAATGAAAGTTAGGCTTTCAGATTCAAGGATGGAGGCTGTGATTGGGGAAAAACATTACTGAAGAACAAGATGTGAAGAAAAAGGATCTCATTGAAGAATAGTAGCAATATAGCAGCAAGCCTGTGACCAGTAAACAGCATGCTATGTCTGCATGACTGGAGTGTTACCACCACTAAGTCACAGGTTCAGACAACAGCACCATGTGGTCTGCTATGGAGAAAGCTAACTCCATTCAGACAGACCCAAAACACATACGCTTCCATTTCCTATTTTAAAAGCAACTGGAAGTTGCCAGTTTACCCCAGTCTAGAAATTAACTCCAAGAATTGTTCCAAGAATATCAGGTGACAATCCAATCTTTGCTGCCAGTAGGATGATACACAAAGCTCTACTGTCTAAACATCAACAAGCACAGGAAACGATGGCACTTTGTGCACTCCATCTCTTAAAACAGTTAAGTTTGCATTCACAAGCCGTGAAAGTTTTAGCTCATCTTTTGGACATTTCACTGGGTACCATAAGAAAGGAAAGAAACAAAAGAGCAGTAGCAGTATTCAGAACTAGAGGATGCATTTCCTCTTCAGGATTATATTACTAGCTTCAGCTCTAGCCTGCTTCAAAGAGCAAGACTGCAAATAATTACATTAAGTGCTTCTCTTGTGCGTAAAACAAAAAAATACCCTCAAATCTCTTCAATTACAGCTTTTGTAATTAACATTATGAGAAATACATCTGAATACACAATGAATTGAACTGAACAAGCTCAAGTCACAGAATGTAAAGTTTTATTCTGCACAACCACCTCAAATTCAGAACAAGAGAAAAAACTCTAGAAAAATTCCATCAATTTGTGCCAAGGAGGTTTCATAAAAGTAGGATTTCATGACTGTATGACATCTCCTTTATCACACATTTGATGGTGCAGCCAGTGACCAACAGCCAGCTTCACTCCTGTCCAGAAACTAAGGCTGACCAATGTTTCTGCCAACAGTAACAAAGCATCACTGAAAGCACTCAATATGCAGAACTTGCTGAGGTGACTATGTAGCAGACATCAATACAAGATGCACAAAAGTTTTACCATGCACTTCTAATGCTCAAGGAAGGAGCCTTAAGGACTAAGAAGCACCAGAAGACCTGCCTAACCTAAGAGGACATAGTCCTGCAGCTCAGTAGAGAAAGCCTCAAAATGACAGATAGACAATGTAATTATTAAAGAGACAAGCTAACAGGATGACCAGTCTAATGAAGACTTACTTTCTTATCAGCTGAGGGTTGCAGCTGGGTAGAAACAGAACGATATTCAATATTGTGCTTAAGCCACTTGCAAACCTGCAACAGTGTCCTGTAAAAGCACTTAGAAACCATAATTTTGATCCAAGTTGCCTTTCCTGCATATCTGAGAACACTACAGTACAGACACTTAATATTAATTCATATTTGACAGTTTTATATTGCCTCAAACACACTGAAATATATGGTGTGTGTTCCACATTTTACCAAAACAAACTGACTGTAGATCAAACTAAAGACTGAAATTCTATTTTATATTGTTGTTCTTTTGGAATCCCAAGGGAGGCAGAAAGGAATCATTTCTTTATTAAAACTTTGCTTGGGACCAAATTTTCTGTGCTGGGACTTCCAAGAGACAATCTTCTTAGTGAGACATACAATGCAGGTCAATACAGAGCAAGAGCCAGGGGCTCTATTTATTAGCAGAAAAACAAGACATCCTGAGATAAACCCTGAAACCAGGAAGAAGGTGATGGATAGTTTCCTTTTTGGTTTTCAGATATGCAGAACTCTTGGATTGTCTGCAGTCATAAAGCTTCCACACAATATATCTGTAGATTAGATTATAACCAAACTCTTCATAAAATGTTTGTTGCTGCAAACATACTGGGATAAAATAGCAAGATAAAATTTTGGCTTAACACAGCAACCTGGTCTCTTTCCATTTCTTCCAATTATATGCAAAATATAACAACGGTTTAAGAGAAGACTTGACAGTGAGACAATGCTTAGCCCACAAAAGTGAAACGAGTTCTGGAATTTCCTTCTGAAGAGGAGAAAAAACCCAAACAACTCCATAACAATAATCTAACAGGGAGGTCTGAGTCACTTGCTCCAATACAAACAGAAAGAGACAACTTCAAAACCAGGACATTTCCTGCTGTTACAGAGTGAAAGATGTAGCTTTGTCACTGAACTGTGAGTAAAATGCAGCATTTACTTCCCTTTACTTTCAGGTCTTCAGAGTGCATCTTAAATATTTCTGTGCCTTTATTTATCTTGCTTCAGCTCCAAATCTGAAGAACTCTCAGTCACCAATAGAAAAAGCCTAACCTTTTTAATAACTTTTATAGCCCAAGAATCTGTGTTTCCCTTTTCTCATTCCACTTCTGTGAACATTTTCCTTATAGGACTGACTGGGTAAAAAGGAAAAACAACCTAATCTCTGTGATCAAACTGCAAGCTGTTAAATTACAAACGGAAACCCAATTGGAAGGCTCCAGTCTAACAGATGCCTATTCTGCTCCCTTGAAACAAAATATTATCAGCAGTGGATCACACAGTCCAGTTCAGAGAGGTTACCCAGCTACACAGGCTAATGTGTAATGACATAAGAGGTCAATAAAGAAGTACTGCAAGCCAATTGAATCTACTGTCCTACACTTCTCCCCTTTAGTTAAGGTAGCAAAATCATGACGGATTATTCAGTGACTCAATTGTGGTTTAACCTGGCAGCAGCTCAGTACCTCACAGCCATTCACTCCATCCACTCCACTCGAGTGGGATGAGGCACTGGCAATCAAACAGAACTAGTGGGTTGAGATGAAACATTATTTGCTAACACAGAAGAGGAAAAAGCAAGCAAAAACGCAATGGTAACAATAAATATATCTAAATATAGCCACAATGCAATTACTTCCCACCTACCAACCAGTGCTCACCACCAATACACCACAAAGTGCACAATTAACTCTGTTTCAGATGAAACCAGGACATAGTAATATAAACACTGACCTTGTAAAGAGACAAAACCTGTGCTTGCAGCTATTCCTCATAGAAAAGCAGTTATCTGATTTATTATAAAAAGGTAAAAAATTGGTCCAAAATGATGGTGCAGTAAGGAAGAGAAAAATTCTGCCCAAAAAATGAAACAATGGTAAATATAAGATCTTAAGTTCTCTATTACATGTAAAAAGCTACGACAAAGTCTTAAGCCTCTTATAGACTGCTTTCTGGAAAACTATTAAATACTTAAGTAATGATTACTTCAAAAAATAAAATTAAAAATGTGTCAGGTAAAAAAGTGGAAACTGCAGGAGCATTCAGTGCCTGCATAACACATACAGCAACTGCAGGAAAACTCTTTTCTCCATTGAAACAAGCATGCAGAAAAGTTTAAAATTACTTAGGTTAGTGATAACAAAACAGAAACTGTGAGCATGCCCAACCAAAGCTGCTTACAGGACAACTTAAACCTTTGGAAACAGATTCTAAACGCAAGCACGAAGAGAGTAAGAAATAAAGCATTTAAGAGTAAGGTCTCAGTCAGTAAGGCTCTGTAGCACCCACATAACTAAGGCACTGTATGGGAAATGTCTGTAGGACACAATCTGAACAGTGGGACCTTTTTATATTTTTATTAAGTACAAAGATGATTCTACAGCTTCTATTTTCCTGGCCTCCAGTGCAGAAGGTGCAGGACACGCAGTCCTAAGAACTAAGGTAAGCACACACAAGCTTACCTGGGGACACTTCAATATATGCTGACTACTACTTTCTCTTTTGACACGAGCATGCAGAACAATAAACTTTTTCTCACTGATTTATTCTCCCTGTCATCCATTTCTCTGAAGGATGTATGAAAAGCATTGTCAATATGAACATCAAAATGAACTCACAGCCAATACTCAACACTGCACACTGAAAATGCCTTCTTCATTTTTTGGAGAACACACAAAAGCAAGTTGGGGAAAATATTGGATTTTATTTCAAAACTATTATTTAAACACATTTGAACAAAGAGGAATCTGTGACAGAATTTTTTAAACTACAAAGGCATCTTTTACAAATTAGTTTTAAGCATATTTTGGAAGATCTATTCCATTTGGCTCTTTTAACACTGCAAGGAAAAAAGAAATCCAACTGTTTGTTGTTTGAAATTCAACATTTAAAACCACCAAATGCATCTCCACAAAGACTTCCTGAATCTTCAGTTGCTCTAAGTATTTCAAGAACGTCTCTGTGACCCTATGGACTCGTATTTCTGCTTTACTATTACAGCGGTGCCAATTTCATCTCCACTGTACCACAAATTGTAAAGTATTCTTTAAAAAAGTAAGCAAAATGGGAAAACTTTGACAGACAGTTTCACGCTACTTCATCTTAACACACCGGTTGGCATTCAGATGCAATCAGATGCAAGATGTTTGACAGTTCTTATGGCTGGACTCAGAATTACTCTTGGTTTTCAAATTTCAGAGGGAAATAAGGAACAAGCCTTGAAGTTACTCCACTTTCTGTAAAATTCTTGGCTTTACTGCAGCCACTAAAGTAGACAGCCAGATAAAAGAAACAAGCAGTGTGCTCAGGTGGCCAAGAAGGCTAATGGCACCCTGTCTTGCATCAGGAATGGTGTGGTGAGCAGGACTAGGGAAGATATCCTGCTCCTGTACTCAGCACTGGTGAGGCCTCACCTCGAGTACTCTGTTCAGTTCTGGGCACATCAGTACAGAGGTATCTCTGATTCTCAGAGAATTAGAAAAGACAGCCAAGGGGTATTAACATTTTAAATAGCCAAAACAATATTCTGCAGAACTTGTTTTTATCAAAGCCCTCAATCTATGCCTACAACAATTAATGATTTCAAGGCCTTATGCATGCGAGTACACTTACATGAACTACTTACAGGTAATGAGTACCATACCCAACATTAAATGCTTAACTGATTAAGCTACACAATATGATTAGTTTAGAAAGGAGTCTAATTTCATCTTATTAGTTCTTTTAAAACCTAATCTTCCACACAGACTAGAGCATGGGGCTTTCAGCATTTAGCAGTGCACTGTTAAGGATTATGTTCAGTCTTGGCAAACACCGTCTACGCATCTATATAATATTGAAAATGCACAGATAACACTTCATAGTCATTTCCATGTGATCAATAGATGGCTAATCAATCATGTTCTGTTTATACAGAAGAAAAGTTATGCTTTACTGGTGAAGATACTGCTCACATGAACCTCAATGAAGCAGTCAGCCTGACAGGCAGGGTCAACTACAGGGCTGTCTAGTAGGCTGCTAAAAAGTGTACAGTAAAGAATGGAGATTTTCGTTCACCAGACTGTTGCTGCTACATCTTTATTACAACTGTTCAAGTAGCTAAGTGTACATTATGAATCTGCAAACAAAGTCTACACCAGGAAGTGATATAAATGGAAATCATTAAAGGACCTGATGAGAAGTTGAGCAGGGTTTGCTGAGCAACCACTGAGTGAAAAACAAGTCCTACCATCTAAAGAAGTACAACAAAAAATCTGAAGGCAAAGATCTCAGATCAGAACAACTGTCTTTAATTGTCAAAACATTACACTGAGAGTCCAAGATCAGTAACATAATGAAACATCATGTTTGCAGAAAAAAACTCTGGCAGTGAAAACTCTCATACCCTTACATAAGTCTTCCTACCATAGCTTCAGAGCTATTGAGTTGGTTGGGAACCACAATGACCCCATGGTTAATGGAATTAGTTCATGAAATACAGAAGAAACTTTCAACACTTCCATAGTTTCATTAACAAATTTTGAAGACTGACTGCAAAGGATACCCAAAAAGCTACATCGTTCAAGAAGCATCCTCATCTCACATCATGTCTTGAAATACTCACAGTATGCATTTCTACTGACAGTAAGAAGCATCTTCTGTCTCAAACTGATCAACATTTCATCATCTGAAGTTTTGGTATTATAGCTCAAGGATATCAATGGCCATCTAACTATACCCAGCAATTATGTGGCCTATATACACAACTATGCAGCTGGTATGCCTTTGTGGAAGAAACTCAAGGCTGTAATTAAGCTATTACATAACACCAATAACAACTTTATTTACCTACCAGGGCATATGAATGGGGCACTAAAGAAAACGAATGCTCATGAATTTTTTTGTTGTTCAAATTACAAAAAAGAAATGGGGGCTTGCATGTTTGTTTTTTGTTGTTTTGTTTGTTAGTTTTCTTTTTAAAGTCCATGATCAAGCTCTTTAGTGCTAGGTATATTAACTGGAGTTGACAGAAGAATTTTATTGCTTTGGAAAAAAAAAAAAAAAAAAGGAAAAACTGAAAACCAGCTCCATCTTTTTTAGGACATTCAATCATTCAGGGAAAGAATGTCAGCCCAGCATAGCATTTCAAATGGAAATACCAGTGTTATTTACTATACAACAATTGTCTTTTTTTTTTCTTTTTAACCTGCTGTGATCTTCAATTGTTTGGTTTATATGACTTTTTCAATTCAAGCTAGAATAGATCTTGTTCCATTCTTCCCTACCTAATGGGAATAATACAGACCACTGAGATATTTTCTTCTTACACTTTAAAAATAATCAGAATGGTGTTCATACACATTTATATATATATATTTATATACACACACAAAGATAGCTGTCTGAATCACACAGATATGCTAGGCATCCCACTATTACTTCCCAGAAGGCTAACATAATACTCTGCTACACCTGTAGAAGACACCTCAGACTCGCACGTGAACTATTTGAGATTTAGAAATCAAAGAGAATAATGTAAAACAAGCTCACTGACAGTTAACTACAGCTCTCTGCTATGAAAAATAACATGCAACAGAAGCAAAAAGAATCCCCATAGACACATAGCACTCATTCTGCTTCTTTTCCCCTGCATTACACACAGTATCTTCTAAGCAAGTTCTGGTGCTCTTTGGCCACTATGTACAAATTACTGAGTCTTGAAGATGACAAAATCATAGAATCATAGGAGTTGGAAAGGACCTCTGGAGATCATTGAGTTCAACTTGCCTGATAAAGCAGGTTCCCCTACAGTACATCACACAGGAAAGCACAGGAAGAAATATCTCCAGAGGAGACTCCACAGTCCCCCTGGGCAGCCTGTTCCAGTGCTCAATTACAAACAAGAGTTTGGTTTTTTCTGGATGTGTTTCACCACCTTTTAAAACAATACTCACTATAAAGAAGTATTATATGCAAAGAAATGTTTTACACATTATACTTATTATTTCAAAGGTATTTAGCAATGCATTAAAATAATGGCTTGTCCTAGTCATAGCTTCAAGAAGTCACAGCTTCACATAATCTTCACGTCAATTGGATTAAGATGTAATCTTTGCAATTATGAAGTTAACTTTGAAAAATGAGGAATAGAGGTTTCTTTAAATGTGCTTTTCTTCAAAGCCACATTGATCCCATACTATAGGAACATGCCAGACACTTCTGTAGTATTCAAGACTTTTAAAGGAGGACCAACATGGAGAGAATGCTTACCTTTGGTGGTTTTCTAGAAGATGGGGAAAAGTCAGCAACAATGAGGTGAAGTATGAATTGACCATTCACATAAGTGGAGGGCAGCAGAAAAAGAAAAGAAAAAAAAACAGTCAGTGCACTTCATTATTATATTTTTTTGTAACCCACAATGTTTTTAAGACTAATCAAATCAGAAGAAATCAGAAGATACTTATAGGATATAGCATAGATTTTTAACAAGCATCACTAGTTCTTTCATCATTAATATAATCACAGATTTAAAAGAGAGAAAGAAAAATGTAACATTCCTCACAGCTATAAAATCTAACAGCACTGAGTTTAAAAGTGAAAACAAACATTCTTTGTCATGGAAGTAAATCACTTCCATTTTGTGATAAGCTAAAACAGCCTACAAACTGATAGACAACAGCACTGGGGCAAAGCCCCTCTGATTTTAGCAGTGCTACACATCAAGAACAAGGCAGGAGCGAGTTTATGGAAATGTATAGGAAAATAAACCTGTATTTTCCCTGGCCACTGAAAGCCTGCACAGAACATGGCAAACCAAAGCAAAAACACCATTATCCTTCAGGCACAGCTCCAACTGGTGCTGTCATAAATGGAGCAGAGGTAACATTTCAAACTGAGGATACCAATGTCGAGTACTTTGACTTGCCCTTCAATGTTTTATGTTTACCCTGGCAGCCATGTGGTCACACAGTAAATTCAATTAGTTGGTTGGGTTTTTTTGGAGGGACTAGTCACGACCACTGACATGTCTCACTAAGCAACCCTGTGTTTGCTAATGCAAATGCAACAGAAGAGCCAAAGATAGAATACAGAATTAAATTGGTTTAGGCCATTCATGAAAACTACAATCTTATGCATAGCTTTAAATTAATCTGAAGTGATGCACTGTAGAAACACGAGACCAAGCCCTGCCTTCCCCCACCAAATCACAGACAAACTCCACAAAGGCAGGGGGGAAAAACACTTTGAACTGTCTGTCTACTGCCCCACAGCATGGAGGCTCAGCAAAAAAGGCTGAAAGAAAGTCAAACACAAACACATCTTACACAATCTTTTCTACCTACTCTCAGCTCATACCTCAGATGAGGCATCTGACTAGACCAGAATTACATAGCTGGCATATAACACTGGTATAATGCAAACACACTTTGCCTCCTAGCCAAACCACCTCCAGCAGCCTTACCCTTCCATTAACAGCAGCTGCTCACCCCATAGCAAGCTCACAGACAGGTGGCTCAGAGCTTGTGCTGAAATCACTCTTATCAAGTTCAAAAAATACTATTTTGCTATACCTGGAATACTTTTTCATGTAATGAATTTCCACATGCGGTAGAAGTTCAACTTCATCAGCCCAAGGTGTAGCCCAAGTTTTAGTATCAGCTCTAAACTTCGTATTCCTACATTAAAGAGATGCTGCTACTGAGGGAAGTTACCCAGACCTCTTAGGAAACGTTTCCATTTATTTCAAATGCACTCATGTCTTGAGAAGCAATTCAAAAATGTAACAGCTTTCCTAGGGAATTCCAAGTAGGTAGCTCTTGTAGTTCAGTAGGGTCCCCAGTCAGTAGGGTCAACTATTAGTCAAAGAAAGAAAATGGCAACAGAAAGTTGACCAACTGGTTTTCTGTTTGATAAGCCTCATATGGATAAGGGGTAGAGAACATCACGTCAGTAAACACCTCCTTTCGCACATTTTGTAACACATTCCTTTAAGCAATGCAAGCCTTTTCAGGAAGTTCTCTCTCACTTTCCTCTGATGGTCACTCTAAGGAAAACAGGGCCACAACTTTTTGTAGCACTGCTGGACAGCTGGAGTTTCCCCATTGGAAGTGAGATCCTTCACAGCTTCCTGGATGTCAAGGCATCAGGAGCTGCAGGTGATCTCCCAACTGCTCAGGCACCTGCCAGCCTCAGCTGCAGCAACGCAAGCAAAGGCCTCTGGAAATCAGTTACCTTGCTCTAGAGGATATGATTTCCTTAAGCCACTTGAAAATCCCAGCTATGTCACTGTAACATTATTCTGACAATGACTCAGAGATACAAATACTTTCTTCAGTCAGAGGACTCAGACTAATAAAAAATAACTGCTTACAGTTCTACTGAAATCACACATGTAGCAACTTAAAGTTGTCTCATAAAACCTGTCTTAGCCTCAATCAATTTTCCATCAAAGTATGCTGCTTTCATTTTATTTTTTTCAGATGTGCTTTATAGTTTCTTCCCCGTCCCAAAAGCCAGCATCTTCTCAGCTTCACAAAAACTTGGGTTTGTCTCACTTTTTATCACACCTTGACCAAGTAGACCTGGTGATTCAGTACCACAGCTTGAGGGGGAGAGGACGGCAGATCACAGAGCTACAGCAATTCACATTTTTACTTCTCAGACCTATGCCATGCTTAAACATCAATGTTCCATCGACCACTGTGCCGATGACAACATGGAGGTATATCTTTTGAAAGGCAACAAAATCTCCTCTAAACCAAGCTGCCAAGAAGTGTCACAGTTATCTACTCCTGTAACTTGTCTGCACAACAGCAGTTTTTTGTTTAACCTGACAAAGGACAATTTATTCTTTGACGTATCCAGAATTCAAAACCAAAGTAATCACCACCAAAAACCTGAAAAATATTCTCATCCTTCAGAAGTGCAAATTGCAATCACCTCAAAGTCAACTTCCTCTTTTGTCTGGAAAAAATCACGGTATAGCAAAATGTCACTAGAATGATTTTCTAACTATGCTGAGAAGTACGCCTACTGAGGTCTGTCCCTGAAGACCTACTCCAGCTTTATCTTCTGCAGCAGCACCAAGTCTCTCCTATTCTGCCTGGCAAACATGAAAGGTGCAGAGCTCTTGGAGTGGGTCCAGAGGAGTGCGACTAAAAGGCTCAGAGGGCTGGAGCACCTATCCTATGAAGAAAGGTTGAAGGAACTGGGATGATTTCACTTGGAGAAGAGAAGGCTCCAGGGAGACCTCATTTGAAGGCAGCATAACAGGAGGGGGAACGACTATATACATGGGTTGAGAATGGTAGGATAAGGGGGATTAGTTTTAAACTAAGACAGTGGAGGTTTAGGTTAGATACTGGGAGGAAGTTTTTCACCCAGAGGGTGGTGATGCACTGGAACAAGGCTATGGATGCCCCATCCCTGGAGGCATTCAAGGCCAGGCTGGATGTGGCTCTGGGCAGCCTGGTCTGCTGGTTGGTGACCTGCACATAGCAGGGGGTTGGAACTGGATGATCATCGTGGTCCTTTTCAACCCAGGCCATTCTGTGATTATGTGATATATATGCCAAGATCTCAACTCAGAACATCTCTCTCAAATACACGAAATAAGGCTCAGTTCTGTTATAATGTTCTGTGCTAGAACATGAACGTGAAGTCTACTCACCTGTATCAGTGTTTTCTCTCTGCCATCTACCGTAAACTCTCCATGACAGCATACACTGAGATGTGTTTAATTAATAAGGAATAAGCTAGCATTACATATTCCGACCAGAAAACTAGCACTGTTTAACAGGGAGCAATAGAAGACATTCCTCCACTGTGAGCATCCATGGTACTGTCATTGTAATTGAGTTCAGAACAACACCGAGAATGGCTTTTGTCCCTTAATGATGTTGTCAGCATTCCCAACCAAATGCCACTTCCACCAGAGACAAAGTCATCCCAAACATCAAAAAACATCAAAGCACTGGTAAACATTTCTCCCACTTAATCCTTCCATCTAATAATGCTTCACCAGCACCCTTTGAGAATGTCATCTGTGACAGGGGTAATGTGCTTTTTAAAATGATCCTGTAGGTATAAGCCCAGATATTCCACATTTAAGGAGACGGGGGAGGAAGATGCATTTGAAAAGTAGGTCTTAGTCTCTCTGGAATGACACCCACACAACCCAATTCTTCTCCAATTGGACCACGCCAAGAAGCCAAGTAGGTCACAACTGTACTGTAATTACATCATGTTTTGAAAAGTATTCTGTGGATTCTTTTCCTTTCTCACAATCAGCTAATGAAGACAAAGCAGTAATAACCAGCTATGTTAAGTAACCACAGGTAGTATCTATAGCAGATGATGAACCAACCACAGGGTTTTCAGCTTGCTCTTCCAAGCTGACTCCAGCAAAATCATCCTCCAAAACACTGACTCCAAAATACCTTTTTGCTCTCACTGAATGTGCAATCACAGTAAATTTGCAGTAGTCGCTATTTTCCCAAATATATAATTAAATGTTTATATGTAGTGGCTATGCAGTCATCAAGGCACTCTTCAGGATCACTGGCCAGAGGAATTATTAAAAGCAACATCCAGTATACTAGAATATGGGAGAAAAGTCTTTTTTTTTTTTTTTTTAATGAGTTGAATGATATTCTTTCTTCAGTGAGCATAAAGATCAGCAAATTGAGATCATCCTGACAGATATTAAAAATGTTTCCACATTTCTGTTTGAGCTCTTCCTGGCAGTATTTAACAGCTACAGTTCTCACATCTTGCCTTCCACATATTCCTCACGTGCAGGAAGAATATTCTGTTGAGAATTCTGTAATATCAGGGAATGAATGGCCCCTTTGTATGAATCTACAGCCTGACTGCTCCCAGCTATGTCAAGTTGGAACAGGTTATCAAATTTGTTATGCTTTCATGTACATGCAAGGATATGGCTTTATACTCCTCCCATCCTCAATTTCAGCCTTTTCTTTTCTTACCACCTTTCCAGCCTCTGGAACCTAAAGACAAGTTGATTACAATAAATACAATATTTTTTTCTGAGTTTTTTTGGTGGTTTTCTGTTGTTATTCTTTTGGTTTCTTGTTTTTAAATCAGATTGCCAGTAATGTAAGCCAAGAACATCCCAGAATCTGTACGTGTTTGCATCATTCAGAGGCAGATCGCAGAGCCAGTAGTAGGATCACCATAACAAACGCCTCTTGCTTTATTTGATCAAAGTAACTGCATTGTTTGCCTGGGTATATAAGGCTGTCAGAGTGGCTGTAGCAGAGA